TGTTATTTGCCTATTTTACCATGTGTTGTTTTATTTTAACTTGCGGCTAATGATGACTTCAGAACACATTTTTGTTAGCATGCTCCCTGGAAAGCTTTACTGTACTGAGAATATTCTACTTTATATACACTAAGAAAAAAAGGAGATCTCAGTGATGTCATCATTAGGTCCTTGAAGAAGACCCAATGGGACGCTGTGCCCATGATTGGAAGGTTGCTGGTTCAAATCCCTTTTTTGCAAAGTGATGTCACCATTGGGGCCATGGAAATGAAGAGGGCCTTAACCCCATTTGCTCCTGGGGCTGGTTGCCCCTGCTTTCTGAAGTGTATGTCACTTTGGATGAAAGTGCTAAACAAGCATATCTAATTCAGATCAGACATGGATTAAGCTGACTGTAAAACCTGGAACCCTATGCTTCAAGTATACCAATTTCCTTGATGCACTTCTTCAGTTCATAGCCCTTCCAGTTAACTATAAACACAGGAGACTATTTATTAAGCAACCTAGAAAATGACATTGAAGGTCTTATAAGAGTGGTAATTGGGGTGAAGGAGTTATCTGAGTAAGCGCCAACTTTTCAGGTGCGATATAAAAGACCTTCAAGGACAGACAGTGCTGCAGATGGCTCCCTGCACAGAGAGCCAGGCAGGAACAGGACAGTGATATGCTCTGCTCTTCATTATGATGCAGCAATGCACTCGTGCCTCTGGTTTGCACGAGTGAGAGTGCCCCACAGAAAGGCACGTTGAATGCTTTATCTGCTCTCAGATCACCGCCCCCCCCATTCCTAAACCCTTATTTACAGTCACTTTGGCTCTCTGCTCCCCTTCAGGGTCTGCGTAGCATAATTTACCCTTCTCATCTGCAGAACGCCAGCTTTATAGTCATCTGTTTTAATTCTGTGTGTGTGTTTTGTTTTGGGTCTCAGTGGCATTCATCAACAGCAGCTGGGGGTTATAAATGAGTGTCCTGGCTCTCTGCCCAGATGTGTTACCACAGCTGGGTTCGAGCAGCTTTGCAGTCAGGTGGCCCTGCTTTGCCCTTTCACACTGGGGACGACACTGCCTGAGCTCACCCACTCTGTAGACCAGGGCTTGCTGGGTAGCGGCCTGGGAGTCGCTGAGCGTGTTTCCATGGAGGAAAAAGCTTTTTTTCTTTATTTACAAAAAATGAAGTCATGCCTGTTCACTTAATTGATTTGCAAATTAGAATAATGTAATTGCTGTTTCTGCTTCTGGAATTTCTTGTTCTCTCTCTTAGTGATTCATGCTTTTTAATGTATGTATAAACAGTATGTTTCATCATATTACTATAATGGGTCATAAAAACTGCATTTTTCTTTAACTATTTAAACTCTTGACTTTAATTATCTGGTTGACTGAGCTAATGCACCTTCTGGATTTCCCTTTTTCATATTACACTGGCTGTTTACCCATTTTAATATGTTGCATGCGTCAGTTCCTGTAAGCAATACTGGACTTGTGGTTATAAGCAATTCTTTTTAAAAAATGTGTGTGTTGTGTACAATTCCAAAAAGGTCTGATTTCTGGGTCACTAGTTTGGTTACAGGGTTAGTGCCAAAGCTCAACATGTTGTCCTTTTAAAGCACCTTTTTGATGTTTTTGGACTGTGGGAGGAAACACGCACACATGGGGAGAACATGCAAACTCCACACAGACAAAGCGGCAGTGTCCCATGCCAGTGCCAGCCACCATGCCACCCTACATACTGGGCCTGTGTGATGTTATTATGAACATCGCATGTTATACATATGCAATTGTCACATTTGAAGTCACTATAGTCAGCTGGGTTGAAACTATCAATAAGTAAGGCTAAAATTATTCTGTTATAGGTAACAGAACTTGCAAGTTTTGCAATTTTATTGATCCTTTTCAAGATTAAGAAATAATTACTTTTAACGAAATCACTGGTGCCACAATTATTGTCCCCCCCGCTGTTAATATTTTGTACAACCCCCTTTTGCCAGAACGACAGCACTTAATCTTCTATAACATTTCACAAGTTTGGAGAAAACACAGAGAGGGATCTTTGACCAGAGTTCTGGGTCCTCTCTTATGCACTCTCCTCTACTGCTCACCTCACAGGTTTTCTATGGGATTTACGTCTGGGGCCTGAGATGGCCATGGAAGAAGGTTCATTTTGTGTCTAGTGAACCATTTCTGTGTTGATTTGGCCATATGTTTTGGATCATTATCCTGATGAAAGATCCAATGACGGGTTTTCAGGTTTCTGGCAGAGGCCACCTGATGTTTATGTAAAATGTCCTGGTATTTCAAAGCCTTCATGACGCCATGCAGCCTAACAAGGTTCCCAGGAAGAGAAACAGGTCCACAGCGCTAGAGATCCTCCACCATGCTTAACAGTGGGCATGAGGTGCTTTCCCGCATATTCGTCCTTTGTTTTACGCCAGACCCACCATGAGTGTTTGTTGCCAAAAAACTGACTCAGTCTCATCTGACCAAAGCACACAGTTCCAGTTTAAGTCCCAGTAGTGTTTAGCAAACTCCACACATTTACAGTACATTTGTGATTGTAGGACAGAAAAGGCTTTTTCCTGGCATGCCTCCTAAACAACCTGTTGCCATGTAGATAGTGTTTAATGGTTGTTATGGAGACTTGGTGACCCCAAGATGCCACCCTTTGCAGCAGTTCTCTAACAATGGAGAATTGTTTATCTCCCTTACCATCCTCCTCACTGTGCGTGGTGGCACGATAAACTTGGGTCCTCGTCCAGCCTTGTTTGTCACAGTTCCAGCTGTTTGAATTTTTTTAATTATTGCTCTGACTGTAGATTTGGGCAAGTTCAGGCAAGTAGCTCTTTTCTTGTAGCCATTTCCTGACTTATGAAGATCAGTACACATCTGCTTCAATGCCATGTTTTCTTGTCTTTCCCATCTTGAAGAGTGGATAAGACAAATAGGCATCTGTGTCGCATCAAATTTATACCCCAGGGAAACAGGAAGTCATAGATTACTAATTAAAAGTTCCTGGACACTCTGCTCGACTTAAAAAAGTAAACTATGAATTTCAAAAATGTTTCACTTACATTTCTTTCATAGGAATTGTTAGGGATGTCAATAATTGTGGCACTGGTGATTTTGCTAAAAAAAATTATTTATTAATGATGGATTTTTAAAAAAAAATAAATTCATTTACTTGAGTTAAAGGTTAGATTTTTCTAATTCTTTCAGTGTGAGATTATGCTGTTGTAATAAAAAATGAATTTATAAGCCTAAGTACACATCTTTACCAGGGGTGCCAATAAATGTGGAGGGTACTGTACATTAAACATGTCAGTCTAAAGTTTACTGCAGCTGCTTTTACATGAGCCAATCATTTTTGTCCTACATATATATGGGTTATTCTCCATTTTGGGTGGGAAACCATGTCACAATGTTTGCAGCGCTTAAAAACATGCTTACAATATTAGCATGTACATGACCAATGTTAATTTATGATTAAATAATACATTTCACTCATTATTTATTTGACTTTCAGTTGTATGGTTTCACACATCAGGACATAATAAGAATCATCTTTTACTGTAACAGGTTACAAAATTATTTGAATCTAACCTCAGGTGTAAAACAACACACGACAGATTCCACTATGTCATTATTTAACAAAAATGGAGCCAAATGGAGAAGCCATTTGTGAAAAACTAAGTACTCCTCATGATTCAATAGCTTGTAGAATCACCTAGAAGCAATAACTTGAAGTAATCGTGAAATAAAATTAAAGAAAATTGCTTGTTCTGTCACTAGTATCACAAGGTGTGTAATTAGTTTGGTTTGATAAGGTGTTTGTTATTTTTGATTAATTACTGTCTTTATTAACACTCCTGAATCATTAAATACAGGCAAATTAATACATAAACTGAAAATACATAAATTTGCCTCACGATGTGATGATACCAGTAACAAACTTTGCATTTTACATCAAAATATATTGATATATATTTGTAAGTAACCTCTTACATTTTACGTGTTATAATAAAACCTGTTGACTCATACTAAGGTGGCTTACTTTTCCGATTAATTTAACTGATTTTTAAAAATGTCCACCTCAACTCCCCTCCAAATGGAGAATAACCACATGATTTACACTCTCATCTGCCATATTGCTGAATAAAGGTTTTTTTTTTTTTTTTTTAACCCAGCACTCCAGTTTAATTGAATAATTGTGACAGCTGTACTTGTGACCTGAATGCTGCTGGTTAGAATTCCAGATAGTGAATCTGGAACTTGAGCAGAACAAAAGTCACTAAGCAACTACACGTAAAGTAAATATAGATCATACCCAATTTTCTTCAAATCTGACATGAGATACATTATTATTTGTGATTTTTTTTTGTTTTGTTTGTCTCTGTAGCAAACATTGAGGAGAAGGTGTGGCAACTCAAGGTGAGCAGGTGATTTCTGAATGCCAGTGAGGGGGAAAAATGACTGTGATATATTTGATGTACAATCTGTAGATAAAACAAAATAAAATGTTAACAAATAACATCCAGAACTCCAGAACATGGAGAACAAATTGACTGCTTTAAAACAAAGCACCAAAAAAAGTTATGCAACTCAACTTAAAAAAAAATGTCTAGGACTTTTTATTTATTCATCCTTAACCAATTACAATGTATTATGAGTTTCAGGTCAACATATGAAATAATATCTAGGATCATCAAATAAAACAACAGAAGATGTTTTTCATAATTGTCCCAGATCACTTGTGTATGTGTTGGCTGACCTTACCTGCCTGTCAGTTAAGTGGAGAGAGACAGGCTGCTTGTTTGGAGAAGGTCTTCCTCTTGGGATTGCTAGCATGGGGAAAACAAACCAAGCTTTGCACTGTCCCTCAATAACCAAGGAACACTGAGAAGATCCGCACTGAATGTTGCACCTGAGAACTCCAGATGGAGGAGAAAAACACAAAACAAGATGCTGTCAACCATGACCCCCTGTCTGCTGTGGCTCTGGGACGGCAGCTGCTAATGACAGATGTTAATCTGACTGTTGTTTTTGGTGAATTTCTGGTAGTAGCTTGGCCTTATATGGTGTTTCTATTGTCCTCTGACTACACTGATTTCTCGGTCTCTGAGTGGTCATTTTGGTCTCCTTTCTCCTCTCCAGATGGTGGTGAAGACCTTCATAGACACGGGCCAGGACTCAGAGGAGGAGAAGGAGCGTTATCTCCAATTGGCGTTTCACCTGGCTTCCGACTTCCTCCTCAAGCACCCAGACAAGGATGTGCGGCTGCTGGTAGCCTGTGGCCTGGCCGACATCTTCCGCATCTACAGACCCGATGCACGCTATACCTCTCCCGAGAAGCTCAAGGCGAGTTCTTCTTTGTTCATGTCATTTATTCACTTTATTCTTTGTGGGCTTGTTTTTGTGATTTCTGTGCTGGATTTAGAAGGATGCACGCTGCTTTATGATCAAGATTTGGATTTAGATGATCCATGGATGGATGTTTGGAAGGTTCAATGGATCAATTGATTTGGATGGATCAATGGATGGATGGATAACATTTGGCCATATTATTCAAAGCTGTCTGACTCAGTTTGCATTGTATTGATGAATGTCTTATTTATCCTGCCTTTCAGGATATATTCATGTTCATCACTCAGCAGCTGACAGGACTTGAGGACACAAAAAGTGTGCAGTTCAACCAATACTTTTATCTGCTTGAGGTAAGCAGAGAGAAGGCCATTGGGTTTCATGCTGCAGATGCATCTCAGAACAGAATATTGACTAGACTGTTCATTTCGTACCTCATAGAACATTGCCTGGGCGAAGTCCTACAACATCTGCTTCGAGCTTGAGGACAGCAATGAGATCTTTACTCAGCTCTATAAGACATTGTTCCAAGTGATTAAGTAAGTGGCAGAACTCCCAGAAAATCCCTCCTACAATAAATTCACCAAAACCAATACTGACAGTGGTGAATTTGGTTAAACTGCTCAGTCACCTAACTTGTCCTCGTGTTTTCTATCTCATTTGGAAAATATTTGTCTGTCCTGTGTATGTCTTGGATTTCTCCCATCATTATTTTATACTGAGGCTCCCAGGTTCTGAAACCCGGTGTTTATATAATAAATGTCCTTTCGCGTAACCTTAATATTATATTCTTCCCTTTACAACAGAATACATGGTTCCTAATGCTTTAGGGCTTCAACCTGCTCCTTAAGCTAAAACCTTCTATTAGTTGTCGTGGATTCCCAATGTTCAAAAAAACACCACAAGACCCATCTATTCCAGGAACAGCTCAACTAGCCTGACACCACTCCGTGTCCCCTGGATGATCTTAATGTTGGACTTCCCACTGTTTTGAATAGCCATTTTATTAGGTTCTTGCTTTGCTTGGAAGATCTTTCTCCAGTACTGCTTTACTCATGTACCAGGCCTGTGTTTACACGTTCTGGCACTCGTCGCTTTACACATATACAGCACAGTTCCATCTTATCTTATCTCATCTTATCTTATCCTATCTTATCTTAGCTTATCTTATCTTAACTTATCTTATCTTATCTTATCTCATCTTATCTTATCCTATCTTATCTTATCCTATCTTATCTTATCCTATCTTATCCTATCTTATCTTATCTTATCTTGTCTTAGCTTATCTTATCTTATCTTATCTTATCTTATCTTGCCATGTCTTGTCTTGCACTTATGCCCAGCTGACCCCTTGACAGCCATACGTTTGTAATGTGCTATGTCACTTTGTAAATATACAGTATGTGTGTTGCCCCTCACCTCTGCTTGCAGCAACAGCCACGAGCAGAAAGTACAGATACACATGGTGGAGGTGATGAGATCCATCATCTGTGATGGGGACACCGTGTCCCAGGAGCTGCTGGACACTGTGCTGGTTAACCTGGTGCCGGGCCGCAAGGTGAGCATTGGCTGCATCCCCCACAGCACTGCTCCCACGCTCACATAACACGTGTAACTCTGCACCATGAACCTTCTGGCTGCCTAACGTGTCCCTGCAGAAGCTCCACAAGCAGCCCTATGAGCTGGCCAAAGCCCTGCTGAAGAGGACTGCCCAGGCCATCGAGCCCTGCATCACCAATGTAAAGTGACCTTCTCATAAATCTGACTCTCTAGGCTTTTGCTGATGACACCAAATCCATCAAGTCTACACAGGCTATGGTGCTTCCTACCTGACGTCAGAGTGTTAAGTGCAGGTAGCAGTTTGGCTTGGACTGGAGCTTGATCACCACTACAGCAGGGTGCCGCCTCAGCACAAGAGCATTGATTCCGCATTCCTGGGCCTAAATTGGCATCCACTGCTACCTCCCAACTGCTGTATTTTTCACTCACTCTGTCGCGTAGCGTTCCCGGGAAGAGAGTAATTCCTGCCTGAAGTCATATTCCCAGCTATACCCGTTAAAACTTTGGAAAGTTTGGCATAATGTGTCACAAGTTTTCTGGTGATAATGCAGCCTTCCTCTGTAATTTAAGTTTTTTTAGGGTTCCTAGGTTAGCAGCAATCTGTGCCATGTATCTTACAGTGGCCTGCTTGGCAGTGAGAGCTGCTGCGTTCTCATGCACAGCGTTGCATGGCTTGTCAGCACCAGATGTCACCATTTTCCAGTATTGACAGAATATAAAGACGAATTGAGATGACAGTAATTTGGCATTTCATAAAATTTACAAGAGTAGGCAGGAGTCATCCACAGACAAATGCGTTACAGCAGTCACTAACTAGTTACAACTGGTTTTCAAATATATAGTTTAAAAAATTTTGGTTCATCTAAACTAATTGAGATGCACTGGACTTTCTTCCTGACACTAGTGACTCCGCTTTGAAAGTGAATTTGGGCTCAGCCCCCCCCCCCCCCCCATTGATGCTGATGTGTGGCTTTTGCTCTGCTCAGTTCTTTACCCGGGTGCTGATGCTGGGCGAGCCGTCCGTGAGCCACCTCTCAGAGCACGTCCTTGACCTCATCCTGGAGCTCTACAGCATCGACAGTCGCCTTATCTTCCCCGTGCTCCCCCAGCTTGAGCTCAAGCTAAAGGTGCGACCCCCCCCCCACCTCAGTCCCATTCTTCATATATGCACAAAGGGTGTGTTTAGGCTAAGCATTATTCATTTTCAGAGGTAAATAAGCAGAAAATAAATTACACTTGTTTTTATATCTACGTATTTTAATTCGGATTCTAGCATGTGTAAATAGTCTCTTTGTATTTCATGTATTTCATTTTATAATGTATAGTTTACCGTATAATCACTGCTTATACTCCTCACATTTCGAATTATGGAACACTGCAAAGAACATGTCTTACGTTCCTGTATTTCCTCTGCTTATCTGGTGCTTAGAAGGCTTGGGTGTTTGCTCCAGAACTGGTGTTTGTTGTAGCATTGTGACTTAACCTCAGTTACCAGTGAGGCATGAGCTGATTTTGCGATCTCCCTGATCTCGTGCCAATCAGCTTCTGTGTGTTTGTTATTTTATCCTTTCAGAATTAGATTGTGGCATGTATCTGGATGTTATTTGGTATCTGCAAATAACACAAATTGGAGCCAATATGGTGCTTTTTGGGCATCCAGAAACAGCTGAAGTCACACAATGAAAGACTTTCATTGTGCGTGTTGTAAAAAGCCGCAGTAGCCCAGCTCTTACAGCTGCCCTCAGTGAGGCTTTATGCTCTGCTCCTACAGAGCTGTGACAGCGACCAGCGCCTTCAGGTCGTCAAGCTTCTGACCAAAATGTTCGGAGCAAAAGAATCCGAACTGGCAACACAGAACAAGTCCCTTTGGCAATTCTTTCTTGGAAGGTAGAGCTTTATTATTATTTATTAACCTACATTAAGCTTTTTATTAACCTTTTATTAACCTGATTATTTATCCATACAGCTTTGTATCTCAGTCAGCTAACCCTCAAATGATTAGAAGGCATGATGCCAATTAGAAATATCTGGGATTCAAATGGTTCACTGATGCTTATAAAGACAAAAAATAATTGTATACAAAGAAAAGAGAATAAGATTTAAGCTGTACAGTGTTGTCTATAATGTACTCATTGTAAACTGTGCTTGGTAATGATTTCTACACTGGTCCATTGATTTTGATGTCTCTGTTAGGTTCAATGACATCCATGTTCCTGTTCGACTGGAGTGTGTGGAATTTGCCAGCCTCTGCCTCATCAACCATCCAGACCTTGCCAAAGATCTCACAGGTACCTGCTCTGGAGCAAAGTTACTAATAGGGGAGCTGCTGGGGCTACAGGAAGCACTGCAGATCACTGGTACTACGCCAAGCTTCTCTGTGTAGGGGGTAGTTATGATTTTCCACTCTGCTACAGTGAGAGGTCTATGATTTTCATGCACAGTTTACAGAGCATGTAATGCACATTTATACTGTGGAATGCTTATGGTTTCTAAGTGCATCCTTCCTGAAATTTGAAGGCCAGCTTCTTCACTATTATATTCATGATTCCATTACCATTGCGTTTCCATCTTCCAGACCACCTAAGGGGTCGGTCACATGACCCCGAAGAGGCCATCCGGCACAACGTCATTGTGTCGATTGTGACCGCTGCCAAGAAGGACCTGGCCCTCGTCAATGACCACCTGCTGAGTTTTGTGCGTGAAAGGACCCTGGACAAGAAGGTTAGTCTTTAAAACTTTCATCCATCCAGTTTTCAGAATGAATCCATGCACGTCAGAATGCACCATTGCATGAGTCATTTGGCACCCAGACTGGCTGCTGCTCTTTTTGGGTAAATGAACAGCATTTTAATGGTGATATGGATGATTCCCATGTTATATCTATTTCCTTAACAAGCTGATGCCAGCAGCACCTTCGGTGGGAGAACACATTGTATTTTAATGAACCCATCACAGTGCAGGGTCTCGGTGAGCCCAAGAAGCACAGGGCATGAAACAGGGTGCAACATAACAGCACATATACTATACTATACTACTGTATACTATACTATACTATACTATACTATGTTATGCTACACTACATAACATTACACTACACTACACTACACAAAATTTATGAATTACCAAGTTAACCGAACTGCTTGCTTAGGTGGGGAAACATGTGCAAACACAGGGAAAGCATACAATCTGCATACACACACATGTACACACAGACACATACACATGTACACACATAAACACACACAGATACACACACACACACACACACACACAGGTTTCTAATTATATCTTTATTTATTTCTATGGGGAAAACAATTATTTCAACATGATGACCTTAACCTCTACCCAGCTCTAACCTTAACCAATAGCCATAAGTAACCAAACAAAATATGAGACTTTGGGCATTTTAAATTTTTTGATTGCATTCACAGATTGTTGTAGGGACCTGAATGGTCCCCATGATGTCAAAATAACAGGTTTTTATTACATTCTGAGGAACACTGTAATATAAACATAGTCCACACACACACACACACACACACACACCACCCAGGAGATTTGAGGTCATGCCGCCATACACCTGCACAGCTTAATAGGGTTAAATTTAGTTCAGGTGTCTGTGGATGGGAGCTGCACGCAAACCTCGCTTGACTGATGTGTTCTTGCTTCAGCTCATTTCCGCAGCAGCTACCAGCCAGAAAGAGAAATGCTGCCATTTTTGCACCGTTGCATGAGTCATTTTGCACCCAGACTGGCTGCTGCTCCTTTTTCGGGTGAAACGAACAGCAATTTAGTGGTGATATGGATGATTTTCATATTATATCTGTTTTCTTTAACAAGCTGATGTCAGCAGCACCTTCGGTGGGAGAACACATTGTATTTTAATGAACCCATCACAAAGCCGTTGGGCCTGTAATTCCCCTCCTGGCGAACTCCATCTCTCTCTGTAATCTAATCCCAAGGACATTCCTGTTGCTAAGGAACAGGAGGGACAAATTAATATATTGGGCCATAACTCATACTGACTGTACTGTTTAAAAAGCATTTTCAAATAGAAAGAGCAGTGGTCGGTGATGTCCAATTAGACCGCCCCACCGTGTATCCAGTGCCCTCTACCTTTAGCCAGCCATTTCTGTGACAAATTATTGACCTCTGCTGGCTTTTCCTTCAAACTGGGGAGGCGCCCCATCTGACTCCCTGAGCATCTCAGTCAGTGGTTTGGCTAATTAGACGTGCAGGAAACGAAAGTTATTTCACAGTGTTGAATCCATGACCCAGACTGTCCTCCGTTCCGGTCCTGACACCTCCGAGCGCTTTTCCTTCTCAGTGGAGGGTGCGTAAGGAGGCAATGATGGGCCTTGCGCAGATCTACAGGAAGTACGCACTGCAAGGGGAAGCGGGGAGAGAAGCTGTCGAGCGGATCTCCTGGATCAAGAATAAGCTGCTGCACATCTACTACCAGAAGAGCATGGAGGACAGGTGGGGATCTGCTGCTCCAGGCTGTGAGCTTGTGGACTGGGCTTTTCAGCTTCTTAGTGTAGGGATCAGGAGATGCTGCTTAGTTGTTCTCCAGCCACGGCCGGTCCCAGAACCCCTTCAGTACTCATTAATATAACATGGATTGTTGAGAACGGCATCCCCCTGAAGTGCCGTGTCTCCCCTCTGTCACTGATGGCTTTCTTATTATTATTTTCAAGGTAATATATTTTTGCCTCTGGATATTATTGGTAACACTTTCTATGAATGCCATGTCTACAAGAAACTATGAGCATATTCATAACTAATTTTAATGCAATCATAATGCATTATAAACATGACGGTAAATATTTATAAAAAGGCATAACTCATTATAGCCATGTTTGTTAATCAATATAAATGCTTTGTGAAGCTCTCATTTATAATGCACTATACAGCTCTGGACGAAATTAAGAGATCACTCAATATATATATATTTTTTTATTATTATTTAAATCCTGGTTTAATCCTGGTTCTGTTCTTAGAAGGCTATGCTGAGCAGCAGGGTGCTTCCAGGCTCAAACTTTCTAAGACAGCAGTACACAAGACCAAGGTGAAGCAGGAGACACTGAGAATGATCAAAAACCAGCCAAGTAGAGGGTGGAAGCAACTTTCTAATGGTAGAGATGACCGGTAACTTATCCGACAGTTTCTCGTGAATCAGATGGTGACATCAAGTGACCTTCAAAGGGAATGGGAAACATTAAGTGCAGATGTGAAGTTCACTGCTAGGACAGTTCATGTCAGGCTGCTAGAAACAGAACTGAAGTCCCAAAAAGCATGGAAGAAGCCCTTCATTAATGAGAAACAGGGAAGAACCAAGCTGCAGTTTGCAAAAAAAATATATATTATTCACAGATGTACACCCATAAATTGAGAAATGAGTAAAACAAAAAACTGTCCTGTGTTCTCTTAATTTTTTCCAGAGCTTCATAATGCCATACAAAGCATCCTTAATTCTTATACTGACCTTTATAATGCATTATGAAGGTATCTATTGTGCATTATAGATGGGAGCTTCATTGGAGTTTATGAAGTATTATAATCAACACTATAATGCCATATGACTGTTAATAGAATATGCTGTAAGGCTTTATTAATTCTTATACCGACCATTATAATGCATTATGAAGGTATCTACAGTGCATTACAGTTGAGAGCTTCATTGGACCTTGTGAAGTATTATAATCAATATTATAATGCCTTGTGACTGTCAATAGAAGATGCTTTAATGCTTTTTGAATTGTTATACCAACCATTATAATGCATTATAGATGACAACTTTATGTAAAGTGTTACCATATTATTGCTCCTGGGTATCTGTAAATGGCATGGGGATAGACTGCTGTGGCAGAAACTGGGGAATGTGCAGATATATTTTTAATTATATGGCCTACTAACTTATTGTCAGTTTGGAAACATTCCAAAACAACAACATGGAGCAAGATCTAAACATCAAATAAAATGCATGAGGCTGGCAAACCAAGAGTCAGAATTCCACACTTTAAGATTAAGATGGTAATCCTTTAAAACAGGGTTTTTCAGAAAGATTAGTGGCGAGAGAGACCCTGATGAAGGAAAGAGGGGATTAAGGAAGAGGGAAGTGATGAGACAATAAAGGTCAAACACAGGCTGCTTAATTGATCCACCATGCACTGCACGATTTAGGAAATGGGATTAGCAGCTGTTGTATAATGTGCACCAGTCATCTGCACCAGCACTGCAATTTCATACATGCTAAGATGCTAAAATGGGAGAGAAACAGACTGTGGGAGATGCTCAGAATGCCGGAGTCGGAGCCAGTTGCCCAGCACTGAGCCCCCCCAACCCCCCCCCCCCACCACTGCTGTAGGGTGCTTGTCGAGCAGATCTTTGCCCAGTACATGGTGCCACACAGTCTGGAAATAACCGAGAAGATGAAGTGCCTCTACTACCTGTATGCAGCGCTGGATGTCAATGCCGTCAAGTGAGTGGTGTGGCTGCCCTGGAATATTATAACCATGGATGCTGCTATAGTTGATAGTATCTGTTCTACAAAATGTAGAAAATATGCCAGCTGGTTGGATGCTTGTCAGGAATCCCCGTGTAGCTGTGAAAATGAAATTCCCGCTGGCTTCTGCTGTGCTGACCTCCAGGGCTCTAAACGAGATGTGGAAATGTCAGAGTGTCCTGCGGCGTCACGTTAAAGACCTGCTGGACCTGCTCGATAAGCCCAAAGTGAGTCCCTCCGTTACATTATATGTTGACATTTTGAACAAAGCAGAGGGATCTATTAAGTGGCCCTTATTACATGAATTCAGTTCCCAGGGTGCTGGCTGGCAGTGACTGATGCTCAGTTTATCAGGCTGATACTTCCTTTTGTTTGTAAGAGCATGTGACCCGTAACTCTCATGCTGGAAGGGAGTGTATCTCAAGAGTGTAGAGTATGCCTGCACTGGGGAGGTGGGGAGGTTGTATCCCCCCCAATAATCAAAACCAGGCAACACAAATACTCCAAAAACAATGACAAAATGGGTGGAGACCTCAATCCCCCCCCAATGTTCCACCCAAAGTTGCAAGTATCAATCAGACATAGAATGACCTGAAACATTTAGATGTTTAAAGTTTAACCATTTTTTCTTTCTTTTGCAGTCAGAAACATGTAGCAAAGCTGTTTTTTTCAAAGTCATGGTCATCACGAGTAGGTGCTTTTCGTAAACTCCCGTTTTCTCATGTTTTCTATTAAAACAACGATGATTTACAGTCATAAAGAGTAGATTTATGGAAACACGGCCACTGCTGTGCTCCAGGGAACCTGCCGGCCCTGGGCAGGACCAAGGACTTTGTGAAGAAGTTGGCCCAGCTCCTAGAGGAGGACGTCAAGATCCGGAAACAGCTGGAGACGGTGGTCAGCCCATGCTGCTCCCGCCAGCAGGCCGAGGGCTGTGTGGTGAGCCTTACAGAAAACACACTACTGCTCTTATTTCTAAGCAGACGGGTGACTCAGATCCCTGCTGATAGGATTGTTGTTCAGTCTCAGCCACAGAACCCACATTTTATTTTGTGACCTTGTGGTCAGAAGTTTAATTCCCTTTTAAAATGAGAAGACTGCACTCCCACTCAAAGTTAGGATATGCAAAAAAGCATTGGCCAACTGAATTAAGTGCTACTGTAGCATACAGAAATACTGCTGTATTTTTGTCCTGTTCTGTTGTATTTGTAGAGAGACATCTCCAAGGCCCTGGAACATCCTGCACAGTACAGCAGCCCTTTTGCGGAGATGGTGACATTCCTGTTGGGCAGAATCGCACCGGTTCACATCGATGCAGAGTCCATCAGGTGCCTGACTGAAGGGGTCGCCCCCCACTGTTAATACTGGGGGCTCCATTCCAGTTCTCACATCTGCCTCCTCTCCTGGCCCCCATGCAGCGCCCTGATCAAGCAGGTGAACCGCTCTATACACGGAACAGCAGATGATGAAGATGAGGGTGTGTCCACAGAACAAGCCGTCAGGGGCGGTTTGCAGCTACTGAAGGTAACTGGGTGGGATCGACACTGAGTAACACTGAGGGGTGATGGGGTAACAGCATGGGGCAAATGAGGTAAGCAGTGCAGAGGTAGGTGAGTGTATGCAGTAATATGGTAGCAGCGTGGAGCAATGCAGTTACACAGTGGGATAACAGAGTACTGATGTCGTCTTGTTAATAGTCGCTAATACCGTGTATATACTGAATAAATCTGTTCAGTTTTTATTAAGCCAAAGAAACATGTCAGTGCAGTCCTGCAGCTAAGTCTTTTGGGAAATATGAGGATTAGAGTTTTCTCCAGTTAGCCAATCACAGTGAGGAAAAGCCTGTGGGTGTGTCTGTGCTGCACATGTGATGTAGAGCTAAACAGTAATGTAAAGCCTTGCTGCCTATTCATTGTCACTCCATTCATTTTAATCATATTTGTATAATGATTGTATTTCAGAAAAGGCTGCACCAGTTGAAAATGGGTAAAAACACTTTTTCATCAGTATCAATTTCTAAGCATCAGCTCACCAGGTTAGCAGTTACACAACTGGAGACTGAGGATACAGGCTAAATAGGGCTACATTTGACTGAAATTAGTAACTAATGGAAAATGTTTAAGACTAAAGTGTAATGAATATGTTAATATTTGCTATATTTATAGTAATGACTAATATATGATGGATTATGAGAAAGACCTCGGTATGTATGTTGATGCTTCTATCTTCCACTCTTGCCAGTGTGGGGAAGTAATTAAAAAGGCCAATAGAATGTTGGGTTATATCTTTAGGTATGTGGAGTTTAAGTCAAGGGAGGTGATGTTACATTTATATAATTCCTTGGTAAGACCCCACCTAGAATATTGTGTGCAGGTTCGGTCACCATACCTTAAGAAGGACATTGCTGCCTTAGAAAAGGTGCAACGGAGGGCTACGAGAATGATTCCTGGTCTTAGAGGAATGTCTTTTGGGGAGAGCTTAGCTGAGCTGAATCTGTTTAGCCTGAACAAAGGAGGCAAAGGGGGGACATGATCCAGGTATATAAGATTCTAATGGGTCTGGATGCTGTTCAGCCAAATGGCTACTTCAATATTAGTTTAAATACTAGAACTCATGGCCATAAGTGGAAATGAGTGAGAGAACATTTTAAAATGGATTTGAGAAAGTTCTTCTTTAGACAGCATGTAGTTAGAGTATGGAATAGTCTTCCTGTTAGTGTAGTTAGTGAAGCTAAAATCTTGGGTTCCTTTAAATTAGAGTTAGATCAGATTTTAACAACTATGAGTTCTCCCCAAACGAGCTTGATGGGCTGAATGGCCTCCTCTCGTTTGTAAATTTCTTATGTTCTTATGATCAGGTCTGAAAATATACCTTAGGGGGTGTCAGTCTAGAGCAGGGGTCACCAACATGGTGCCCACGGGCACCAGGATGCCCCCAAGGACCACACGAGTCACCCGCGGACCTGTTCTAAAAATAGCACAACTCACCAGTGAGCAGCGTCTAAAATTTAATTTTATCCTGTTGCTATTCTTCTTTAATCACAATTGCATTTATATAGATTTGAAAATGACAATATCTAAAAATAAAAGCATTTAAAACATGTTTATTGTACATGAAGTTTAGATAAGTTTAGGAGGGTGTTTCAAACGGGTAGCCCTTCGTATGGCTCATTACCCATGAATTAGCTCTCAGTTTCAAAAAGGTTGGTGACCCCTGGTCTAGAGTTTACTTCACTAATACTTTTGGCCAGCAGCTTCTGCAGGTGAGGATGTAGAGATGTACTGCATCAACAATCATGTTTTTCTTGTTTCTTGTATTTCTTGGGTCTCACATTTGGATGGACATATCCTGTTGATTTTAATGATAATTCTCCTAAAGTCTGTAACAGGTCTCTAATGATCCCTGCAGGGATGAAGGAAGTGACTGGGAAGGTGATGACATACCAGGAAATGATCCTGTTATTCATGCGTGAACATGTCCCCTCCCACCTCCCCACCGCAGGTTCTGTCCTTCACGCACTCCATGTCCTTCCACTCGGCTGAGACCTTCGAGTCGCTGCTGGACTGCATGAAGATGGGTGACGAGATGGTGGCTGAGGCGGCCCTGCAGATTTTCAGGAACACGGGTGGAGGGATAGAGGAGAGCTTCCCACACCTCAAACAGTGAGACCCTCTCATCTCCGTGTCGTTTTTCGTGGGATGGCCACCACGGGGCCAATGAAACAGTCACATGACCACCTGCTTTAGGACAGCTCTTGGCAGAGGTGGACATTTCAGGTCCAGAAAGTAAAAATCCAAACCAGGATTTTGTTTCAACCAACCAGTTGAGCATAAAGAGCCACAGTCACAGAGTACTCAACTGGTTGGTTGAAACAAAATCCTGGTTTGGATTTTTACTTTCTGGACCTGAAATGTCCACCTCTGGCTCTTGGTGGGCAGGAGATGTGACACTAACACTGAAGGAGCTCCATTTCATTATAGAACCGGCAACTTTTTATTTCACAAATTACAAGTAAATGGGAACAACCAGGACAACGTGGCAGACAATTTCTTAATGCCTGTAACACTAAGAAATATGTCAGGATTCAGCATGTTTTACTGGCCATGTGCAACAAGGACACTGAAATACTTCAGCTTCACTGAGTATAAAGAATAATCTGAACTATGCAAATTAATAATAAACAACATATGTGCAGTGAAAATAGGTAGCGGAAGCTGCCCCAGCTACAGTCCCTTTAGAATTAGGATTCTATCATTTTAATTGCATCGTTTTAACTCTGCAGACATTTTACCTGTGGTAGATTCAATAAATGCCCCCCCTTTGTTGATCTCTGGCTGTGTAAGGGAGGTGCTCTCAAGTCATTGCCACCTCTTGCGCCCTCTAGGGCCCTCCTGCCATTACTGCAGCAGAAAGCAATGAAGGGGCTGCCTCGACAGGCCAAGCTCGCAGTTCACTGCATCCACACCATCTTCTCCAACAGAGATGCACAGTTTGCGCAGATATTTGAGGTAAAACATATAACGGTTCCCTTTTATCTCAGTCACTGTTTTTCTTTCCATCTTAATGCCTTCCTGGGGTATCTTACAAATGGCTTACATCTCATCTAATACAGATTATTGTGAATACTTATTGAAGCAATTCAAGATCCAATATTATGTGAATATTTGGACAGGAAGTCCATCACCGTGTAATCAAAATAACATGCAAGCACCCCACATCACTTGAAATAGGTTGTGGTGGTTTGGTTGTTTTTGTACTGGACTCCTGGACTGGACTTGCACTGGACCTTCAGAAGGTAGAGCTGATAAAGACAACCTAAATTGATCAAAATCATCCAGTTACTTGTCATTTCTTCTTTGGGAGTGGCTCTCTGCCTGAGTAGTAGTGCCCTAATCAGTGCTACTATTGTCATTGGGTAAATTTTGGGGATGAATCAGCCATTTTGCACAGACCTTCTGATCTCAGACCTTCGTTATATGAGGTATTGGTAAGCCTTTCCTCAGAGGCGCCTTGATATGTCTTCATCAGATCACCATGATTTACACAAAGGTTTCAGAATCCTTGTTCTGGCAACTGTTAGTTAGTTAGACTTTATTTTCCCCATTGGGGAAATTGTTTTCCACAGCTCTGTACTGCATGCTGGTTTTTGTTTAATCACTTAGCATTGAAGGGGCTTGTTAGAGTAAAAGCACTTTTCACATCACATTCAGCTTAATTCATAGTTGAGCACTTGCCATCATTTTGTCAAACTAAATTAAAATCCTAAATTTTTTGGAAAGAAAAAAAAGGCCACATTGTTAATTATTTCAATGGATTTTTATTTAAATGATTAATAGATGCGTCCAGATGCGTCCATGCTTTAAAATATTTTCTTTTCTTTAATGAAATTATTTGTGAGCCAATCACTGAATTGGTACTGAAGTTAATAAAAGTAAATCAAGTTCCCGCTTGATTTAACAAGGGCTTAGAACATTTGAAGACACTCATCCATTCATCTTCGAATTGCTCACCATGAAAAACTACACACACACACACACACAGACTTGAAACCAAATTCAGACCCCCAGCCTGGGAGGTATAACGTAACAGTGCTGCCCACTCCAGGCTGAGGCCCCCACTGGGGAAATTCACAAGGCAGTTCAGAAATATGTCGTTAAAATTGTACCAAGCATTCAACAGGCAGTTCTATCATGGCTTATTAATTAAGAACACAACAGAAACAAAAGTATCGTACATAATATGCTGAATATGTATAACATGTTCGGTGGTGGACTGTGACCAAAGTGGCTTCTGCTCTGAGTTTCCTGGGATAGACTCCAGACCTAATATGGTTTGGTGTCACAGACCACTATGATTTGGACAAATTTCAGTCAGGTGCATAGAGTTGTTGTTCCAGTGCCAGTTGAAGGCCACGTGGTGCCCTAGTGGTCTGCTCAGTGGGCTCCCCTCCTGTGCTCCATGTCCGGGTGAAGATCTAACGTTGCTCCTACTGCTTGCAGCCTCTGCACCAGGCCCTGGATGCTGGCAGCCCCGAGCAGCTCATCACGCCCCTCATCACCCTCGGCCACCTGGCCATGCTGGACCCCGGGCAGTTCAGCAGCTCACTGAGGTCCCTGGTGGCAAACTTTGTCATCAAGGAGCTGCTCATGAACGACCGGGTGGGTTATGTATTGACTCATCCGTGTATGTGTGGAGTCTCCCTCATGCGCTCTTCAAAATCAAGTATTGGAGAATAAGGAACCACCCACTGGCCCAACGACGGAATCTAACTGGGCAGCTGAAGTCAATGAATATGTGTTTGATCTTGCCATGTGCTTCTGAAAAGTTTCTTACACTTCATTTTAAGTCAAATCATTTCCATCTATTTAAGACTACACTGGTCTACATCGGATTCTAAATGACCCTGTGGGTATCTTCAAATATTAGGGTAGCCAAATTCCGAGAATTTTCCTGTTAATTCCCATATATACCCATTAATTCCCATAGAGAGTTTCCAACTTGGAGTATTTCTAAAATTTCCCATGTTAACTTCCCATGGAATGGAAAGTTTGCAGGAATTTTCTACCTGTTTGCAACCTATGAATTCTGATGACGGTGATCTTTGAATATTCCTGTCACTCAGATTCCTGGGAAGAAGGCAGCCAAGCTGCGGCCGGCCCACGATGAACTTTCTCCCTTAACCCTGGCGAAGGTGAGGCCAAGCCCCTCCCCCATACCATTCCCGGTGCGCCAGTTGGCCCCCCATGTGCAACTGTGGTTTTTTTTTTCTTTTTGCCAGATTCAGGGCATCAAACTGATGGTGAGGTGGCTGCTGGGAATGAAAAATGATCAGAGTGAGTGGGCCAACTCCATCCTGAAGGTGCTGATGGCCGTCATGAAGGGCGGCGGGGACCTGACCGGTGTGGGCAGGCTGAGGTAAGGCTGTGGGCAGCCAGCTATACATTCAAACATAAAACCCAACAAAGCTAACCGGGGGCAGGTTTTAGATGCTTCTGCAAGCCGGCGTTATGTCCTCTGTGTGCGTCAATGCAAACTAAGATCTCAGGAACCTTTGTCTGGGCTGAGGGATGCAATTAGAGCCTCGCTCTGTTTCCAGCTTGTTTGTTTTTGCTTGAATGCGACATGTTTTTAAAATGAATGCATGAGTCATGAGCAATTATCAAAAAAATCTAAATAAATAATAGTTAGTATGTCCAAAGTCATAAATGAATCCTAGTTGTTGTAGGAAATAATTAGATTAGAGGAATAATGTGGCTGGGTAGGGGACTGAAATGTTCGAGGTTACGGAGCAGGGGGTACCGCATCGCTGAGGGGGGGGTCATAGCCGTAGCCTTGCCCCCAGGAAGCTGGACATGTCGAGGCTGCGTCTGGCCGCGGGCTGCGGCGTGCTGAAGCTGGCACAGGAGCCCTGCTACCAGGAGATCGTCACACGGGAGCAATACCGGCTCTGCGCGCTCCTCATCAATGTAAGGCCACGCCCCCTTCCCAGCAGCCCCTGTGCCTGTGTCATTCAAGTGTTCAGAGTAACCACAAGTGGCCACAGTATTATAATATCAGATCCTGTGCAGCGTTTGCTGTCAACATTTTTTTCTACTCGGTCTACATGTCTGTATTTGTTATTTGGTTTGTAATGGGGCAGGTGGATGGAATGGCGGCTCTATTAGGCTACAGGAGCAGAGACGGGTTTAATGAAACAGATAAGAGAGGAACGGTAATGAAAGACTGGCATCTGATCTTTGGCACAAACCAAATGTACAGGAAAGGAACCAGGGGTTAGATCTTAAGAGTTTGGGTCTAGGAGAAAAAATCAGAAGCCAATTATCATTAATGGATAAAGTGAACATTACATTTACACATCAATGTGCAAGATGTTTATTTACTAATAAATGTGACTGTGATTTAGTGAGTTAATAACGACCCGGTCTTCCTAAGGACGAATGTGTCCAGGTACGCCAGGCCTTCACCCAGAAGCTGCACAGCGCCCTCCGGAGGCTGCGGCTCCCCCTACAGTACATGGCCATATTTGCCCTGTGCGCCAAGGACCCTGTGAGGGAACACCAGGCTCATGCCCGCCAGTGCTTCCTCAGGAACGTCCACGTCCGCAGGCAGTACCTGAGGCAGCACGCCCCCCTCAGCGGTGAGGCGGCCCGGGGGGGTCCGCACCGCCCCCGGCTCCCACTTTCCTCCCCCTTCCTCTACTCAGAGGAAATAAAATCTACTCTTATTTCATCTTAGCTGTTTCCTTAAACATAGCATGTATTGTTTCTTAATATCAGTGTCTTTCAGTCACTTTCCCCAATCTTTCACTTCCAAATCATGTCTGTCCCTCCTGTGTGTAGCCAGAGGCTGTCCTGTGCCGTCGGACTGGCCTGCCTCATCTTGGGCTTTTTGCACTGCCATTTATTGACATAACAGCCGGTTCATGATACGGTTCATGGCTATTGGTGAGGACTCGCACTGAGCTTCCCTGGTTACCCCCCTGCACCCTGCAGGGAAGCTGCACTCCCTCCTGCCAGAGTACGTGGTACCGTACACCATTTACCTGCTTGCTCACGACCCAGACTACGTCACAGCACAGGACACTAAGCAGCTGAAAGGAATCAGGGAGTGAGTATGACTGTTCTTTGCCCTTCCAGTGCTTTTAATCACTATTTCTGTATAATAACCCATCAATCAAAAAAATGGAAGCTTCATGGAATCTACAAAGAGTTCTGGAAAGATCACAGAAGGATTTAGCTCTAATAGTTCTAAGTCAGCTCTCCTGTTGTGTGGCAATTATATATCCTGGCATTAACTGTCATGAATAATGAAAAGGACAGCTGAACTTGGTGCCAATGTCAAATCAGTTCATAGCAGAGCAAGATGCTTTAAGCTCAGAGCATTGTCAGGGGCAGATCAAAGCACAGGCCATTGTAGGCTGTAGCCAAGGGCCCTAGCAAACATCAGGAGAAGAAAAATGGAATAGATAAACTCATCAAATCTGGCCAAACGATCCACCGATCCACATCATCCCCTCCCAGTAATGGATTATTGACTTTGTGTTTATTTGTTTAAATTCGTTTCTCTTTTGCTTCAAAAAATAACTCAAGTGGCCTGACCATGTCAGGGAAGGCCCACCAGAGACGTTAATCTGCCCCTGAGCACTGGCAATGAACATGGTGAAGCTTTTATGGATGTTGTGGTTGTAGCTTTTATTGTTTATGTGCATGATATGTAGCTACCAGGAGAGTGTGGTTGGGTCACAGTTCATGCTCTGTGCAGTTTTATGGTCAGATGTGGCCTTGAAACAGCTGGTCTTTCCAGGATGACGGGACTGAAACAACCCCTGCTTGGTCTGTCATTATCTGCAGGTGCTTGCGGTTTGTTTTTGAGATCCTAATGGTGAAAAAGGAGAACAACAGTCTCACGTTCATCCGGAAGTTGGTGGAGAACATTAAATGGGCGAAATGGGGCCAGACACCAGATGACCCCAAGACAAATGAGGTAGAAGTGAACATCGAACACCCATAAAGGTTTAAAACCTTTAAATCAGTCTCTCCATATAGGTGGTGTAAAATGTACCATAAAACTTCCATTAGTGAACTAGGTGTTTATTACTGACAGTCTTATACTGGAGAAACATATTTGATGTAAATCTGAAACTAGTGAAACATACTGGAAGTAAAACAGGAAAACTTTAATAAGCCGTATATTTTAAGGCATTAAAACATCTAATTGATCCATCTTCTACAACAGTTTTTTAAAAAGAATGTTTACCCAGCTTCGTGTGAAAACATTGCTGCTAAACACTTTAAGTTGTCTGCTATCTTACATAACAAGTAGCTGGTTCAAACTATCTGTAGATAAAATAATTTCCAGGTATAGAATTATCCTGCAGCATACAGAAATGGTAACTGTATTATGGAGGGTGAATTAGTATTTTATCAATCTTCCAACCAGACCTGGTGCCTGTTCCAGTCATCACATGGCAGGGGATGTCAGTCTGTCACAGGGCACTTGGATACCCTGCGGGGGATGTCAGTCCATCTCGGGGCACCGGGATACCCTACAGGGAATGTTAGTCCGTCACAGGGCACTGGGATACCCTACAGGGGATGTCAGTCTGTCACAGGGCACCGGGATACCCTACAGGGGATGTCAGTCTGTCACAGGGCACCGGGATACCCTACAGGGGATGTCAGTCTGTCACAGGGCTATGGGATATGCTGCGGGGGATGTCTGTTCATCATGGGGCTCTGGGATACCCTACAGGGGATGTTAGTCCGTCACAGGGCACCGGGATACCCTACAGGGGATGTTAGTCCTTCACCGGGCCCTGGGATACCCTACAGGGGATGTTAGTCCGTCACAGGGCACCGGGATACCCTACAGGGGATGTTAGTCCTTCACCGAGCCCTGGGATACCCTACAGGGGATGTCNGTTAGTCCTTCACCGGGCCCTGGGATACCCTACAGGGGATGTTAGTCCGTCACAGGGCACCGGGATACCCTACAGGGGATGTTAGTCCTTCACCGAGCCCTGGGATACCCTACAGGGGATGTCAGTCTGTCACAGGGCTATGGGATACGCTGCGGGGGATGTCTGTCCATCACAGGGCACCGGGATACCCTACAGGGGATGTTAGTCCGTCACAGGGCACCGGGATACCCTACAGGGGATGTTAGTCCGTCACAGGGCACTGGGATACCCTACAGGGGATGTTAGTCCTTCACCGGGCCCTGGGATACCCTGCAGGGGATGTCTGTCCATCACGGGGCTCTGGGATACCCTGCAGGGGATGTTAGTCCTTCACCGGGCCCTGGGATACCCCGCAGGGGATGTCAGTCCGTCACAGGCCACAGGCACTCCTATTTTATGGAGCATAATACTCAGTGTTTGCTGTTCCTTGTTTATGTTATGTTTCTCGTTTGTCTGCTCAGAAACTGCACACCGTGTGTAACGTAGCCATGAGCATCATCTCGAGGAGCAACACCTACAGCCAGGAAGTGGCCAAAGGTCCCGCCCTGCCTGCCAGAAACTTCCGCCATGCTGACACGGTGCGGTGTGCCTGCTTCTCAGAGCTTTGTGTGATTCACCATTATAAAAATAATACAGAGTCTCAATTATCATCAGAATCTTCAGTGGTCACCAATGGCAATTTATATTGTCAAGGGACTCCCCCCCCCAACCCCCACTGCCCCAGACCCTTTCCAGTAAAGCATAAGGGACACGTACGCATGCACACCATTGGTATATGAGAGCTTGGCCTAACTGCATGCAGCACCAAGAGTAAAGGCTAATTCTAGAATCCCACACGGGAGGTGCGACGCATCCACTGACTCACCATGCTGTTCTAAAGTCTCAGCTGCTGTTTCTTTAGTAATCAATCGAGGTTGTTCTACTGTGCAGTTAAACACTGAGTTTGTCCCTAATATCTTGCAGAATATCAGCAGTACGAAGAGTCACCCTCCTCCGGAAATGAAGTCCTTTATCAATCTGGGAAAGGTAACCTTCCAAAAACCTGTCATTCACAGGATATTTCATTGGATTTATTCCCTGGTTGCAAGCACCTTCAGCCCTCCCCCCCCCCAGACTCCCTCTCTTTCACCATGGCCCAGTTGTCCATCCTCCCCACCCCCACAGCCTAGAACCGCAAGCATCCTTGGGGCAGTAAACAAGACCGTACCCGCCACAGCCAAGCAGCCGCACACCAAGCCGCCCTGGACAGAGACGGTGTGCAGTGACAGCTCCCTGGGCTGGCACCAAACCTGGTCAGTGCATGCCCACTCACCTCCTGGGGGGGTAGGCGGTGGGGGGGGGGGGGTCACAATTCAACAAAAAAGAAGGCCTGAAATAACAGCTGCTGTAGAGCTGAATAAATATCACAGCCTGTAAATGGCATTGTGAGGACTGCAATTCAGAAGTGCAGTGAGGGTTTTTGTATAGCTAGTAATAGAGTGAAATAAATAGTGTTGTGACTTTATAGGCCCACAATTAGTGATTCATTATCAGCCCTATTTCTGTGAATGCCTTTCACTGAACATGGTGTTTTTCTAATGCACGGCTTAGTCATGCTGTGTACTTGCAGACAATGAAAGGTATCTGGCTGCTACTGAGAGCTGGGCATGCTTTGCCTTTCCACAGCTGCAATTCAGTCCCCTTGTGTAAACGGTCCAGTTGTGTTTGTAAAGTAATAGTATGGAGGCTATTTGTCATTGTGTATTTTATCTAGGGGGGGTCCACTGACATCAACACCTTGCATTTCAATCTCTTCACTCTTTTAAATTATTTTCCCCACTGTTGATACAAGGTGCTTGGATTTAATGGGTCAGGATGGAGCTTGCTACTGTGATGTGTTACAGAAAGGACGGAGCTGACTGGAACCAAGAGGACAAGTTAGATCCTGACAGAAATCTATTCCACCCAGTGCTCATGATTCCATTAGGGTCAGAATCTTAACACATGGTTATGCTAATGCTCCTGGTTCGCTGCTTTGATCTGGGCTGTTGGCAGGGACAGGTGAAGAGCGTTGCACAGCCAGTACAGCCTCGCTGTCCCACTGGAGGAAAAAACATCTTTTGATTGAGTCCCTTCAGCTAGCAGTGAGATCCCAGCTAAAACAGCTCTTTAGATGCACAGCCCTGCAAGGCAGTAATGTATGATAATGCTGTGTGCATCCCTCATAAATATAAGGTAATTTCCTCCTGCTTAACATCCCTCTCGCCTGATTTTCCTTCAGGGTGAAGCACTGTGAGTACAATGAAGTCTCCTCTGTGAAGACCTCTCTGGTGCCAGGAACGCAGAGCAACTGGAGAGCTAGAGATGACTCCGTCCTGCTCAGGGTACTGGGTCCTCCAACCCTGAACCAGACACTGACATGGTCAAAGCGTGAGAATAAATCAGTCCTGAAAGGGCTCTGGTCAGTTCTGTTAGTCTTCTGTATCCAAGGTGACGTGGGAAAGATTCAAAGAAAACATTTTGTATCGCGTTATATTTTTAGTAATGATGAGATTCAGTACGAGTTGTTCTTGGAACATCAGCGTGTGCTGCAGGTTTCAAATGGCAAATTGTGTGCTTGTGTGCGAAAACGAGCTCTGAAAATAAATGACAAAAAACATTAGCAAATGATAGACAGTGTATCACGGGAAAAACATGGCACTGTTTTTACTATGCTTATTTCTAGAGAAATGGGTGTTGGCCTGATTAAGGTACTGTAGGTGCTGGAATTAAACAACAAACAGCACCTTATGTCTCCCGTACCTCCTCTCTGCAGGGTGGGGAGAAGCTGCAGTGTCTCAAGCGAAGAGCAGCTACTGGGGAGGGGGACAAGAATGTGGGCTGGACTTTGAGGCCTAAGTGTGTCCATAGGAGGGCTGTCAGCGCTGGAGTGACAGACTCCAGATTCCAGGCAGGAGAAGTCCAGGCAACATCAGCCGCTCTGGAGCCGGGGGAAGAGCAGAACAGCCCTGCCAAGAGGGGCCGGAGAGGCCACACCCCCGGGGCCGCCTCTCTCAGGTGTGGGGCACTTACTGAGATGGGTCATAAAAAGCCCAGCCCTCTCACAGAGGTGGAAGAGGATGACGATGATGAGGAGCTACCTCCAGCTCAGACCAGGTAACCCACTTGAAGCTACGCAGGTTTTTGGCCAGGCCAGTACTAAGATGGGAGACCACCTACGAAAGCTGAGTTGCTGCTGGAAGAGGTGTTGGTGTGGCCAACAGGTCAGCCCACCCTGTGGTCAGTGTGGATCCCAGTGCCCCAGTGCAGTGATGGGGACACGGTGCTGTAGAAACGATGCCATGCTTTGGATGAGATGTAAAACCAAGGTCCTGACTCTCTGAGGTCATAAAAGATCCCTGGGCACCTTTCAAAAGAGTAGGGTTGGTACCCCAATATCCTGGCTAAAATTGCCCACTGTGGCCCTATGAAACCTGGCCTCCTGATCATCCCCTGTATCTAATAGGTGAATTCTCTCCTGCCCCCTCACCACCTTAGCTACTGTGTGGTGAGTGTTCTGCCGCAGAATGGTGGGGGCTGCACAGTGCTGGTGGTTGAAGTGGCTCCCCATTGGTTATGTAAAGTGCTTTGTCTGTTTGAAAAAGTGCTGTATAAATGCAACATCCATTCATTCAAATCCAAAGTGGGGAAGCAAGCCGTGGCACTCCAGGGGTTACATGAGAAGTATGGCAAATCCCCATCGCATTACTGTCTCTGAAGGGAGAGATACAATTAATCAAGCAAATTAGCTTATTAGCATAGCACGTTTTCGTGATGAAGTCGTCGAGTGACGGCAGATATAGAAGGAACACTGGAAATGGAAAACTGAATGCAGACAAAAGTGAAAATTATGCCTTGGGGAAGGTGATAAAGAAAATAGTGTCTATAAATGCACAGAAAAGGAGTGCAATTGTAGATATAAACATTTCTTAGTGATGAATGCCTGAGCCCGGGGACTGAGCAGTCACGGTCTGCTGATCTGGTGGCTGATCCGGGGCAAATCACTCTGTTATTGGACCGCTGTGATTTGAATGGTAGTCGTGTACAGCCACTGCAAGCCCATTTATAAGGTCCTGACTGGGCTGCTTTCATGTTGTTGTGCCTGCAGTAATTGGCTCCATTTCACCGCTGGCTACGCTGATGAGCTCGTTGGTGCGTGTACAGCAGTCACCTCCCAGTGTTCCCTGCACGGGGTCCTCGTGCACCACCTGCATGCCAAGTATTCTCCTCCCTGCAGTATCTACCTCACTGAAATAATGTGCATATTCATGTTAAGTTCCTCCTTATTTAAAAGCTTCTTTGTCATCTTCTGCCTCTTCTGGTGGCATGCTGACACTGTTTAGACTGGTGAACATATTTCTAGGAAGTAATTAGTCCTTCTTGCAAGCAGAGCGGCTATAAATCATTGTGTAGCAATGGAAAAAATCACAGCTTCTAAAGCTATTACTGAATATTGTGAAGACCTGTAAATGTCCTGTTCCGGGTTCGAGAGCGCGGACCCCCCAGCTAGCTCGACCAACACTTGATCAATGCATGGAGCTACAGTGAAGGGCAGTACGTCTGCCTCCAGCACAGAGGCATTCGAGGTCACAGATGATTTAATGCAAGGGGAGCGCCCCGAGTCAGCCCAGCAGCCAGCCAAGTAAAATGTGCAAGTGTCACCTAAGCTTGTTTTTGTGCCTGTTGTAATGTGTGTACATCTATTTTCTGTGAGTTTGTAAAGCCTGATCTAGACCATTCTGTACCAGCATGTAGCTCTCAATCTGCTTTTGACTGTAGGTCATTCAAACTTTGACTCTGGGTAAGACTGACTATCCTATCTAGCTCTCCCTTTGACTCTTGGTTTAACTCTGACTCTCCTTTTGACTCTGGGTCAGACTCTGACTATCTTATTCCAAATCTGATGCTCCTTTTGACTCAGTCTTTGCTTTTACCTCTAAATCTGACTCTCACTGTCAGATGCAGTGGTCGCTTCAAGACAGCAGGGGGTGAAGAAATCAATTTTGGGTATGCGAGAAGCATGGATGATGACAATGAGGAAGCGGGGTGTAGCATACCCAAAGTGAGTACCCTCACTACGACACATGGCCCCTCCTGGCCACTGGCTCCGCCCCCTGCTTGCCCCTAATGACAGGTCATGTGCTGCTGTACGGGAGACTTGTCTCACACCCTGGAATCTGCTCTGTCCGCCAGATCCAAGAAACACCAGGCAGGAGGGACCGAAGCTGAACATGAGCATCACTGAAAAGAAGAATGAACTCACAAGAATCCCCGTCTGTGTCCCAAGAGCCCTCCATAACTGTGTTAATGGAGGCTGGGCTCAGAGGAGTCCTGCATTTGCAGTTTGCCATCTCCATGGTCCAAGTTGTCACATTCATATCATAACTGCTCATTGTGTTGCTTTCTAAAGTATCCTGGTTACGGGTAATGAGATCAGTGTAAATGCTCTTTTCCCATGTCTACCTGTTTTTATAAGTGCCCCAGGTTTTGACCCGCTTCTATGGATTAGCAAGCAAAAATTGACAAGTGGCATATTCTCCATTTAAGTTTTTCTAAGCCTAAGTTTTGCGCTTTGTGGCAAAGGGGCATTAAATTTGCCATTTGTTTGCCTTTGAATGAATTTTCTGCTTATTAAATATAAAAATTAAACAAATGACAAAATTCTGTTATAAAACAAGTATTTTCACTATGGTATCATTTCTGTGCATGTGTTCATTATATAAACAATAAAACTGGCAGTTCCTCCAAGTACCTCAGTGACAACTGTACCTTCTGATTTACCCATATCAGGTCTGGCATTTCTAGGGTTGATTTGGAAAAATGAACAGAACACGGTGCTTCTGTTACAGTGTTTGAGACACAAACAGGCTGATGAGTGATGTATATGCACGCCACTTACTCACTTTTGGATGCCGAAGGCTGCAGAGTCTGAAACAGGAAAACAAGCCAAAAGTCATGGAACCCAATTAGGTAATGGCCAAAGCACAAATCCCTCCTGATGGCACCAAGACCTCAGGGAAAGGAGGCACCACAGTTGTTTCCACTCTGCTTTCCAAACTAAGCACATATTTCAAAACCCTCTACTTTCAGTAGCAGGAATAAAAGGCATGTTTTGTGTATTGCATATATTAGCATCACACAATGCAGTATGTTAGGCAGGTGGATGGGACCTTTGCCTCTGCTTATGCAGCAAAATGCAGCTGCTCATGAATGTGTGAGTGTACATGCTGTATCCTGTAAGGTTTCCCTACAGCGTGCCTTTCATTTACCATCAGTGGCCTTGAGTCTTTCCCCTTCCTGCCAGAATGTTCTGGATTTCCAGTTTCTCGTATGAACTGCTTCTTCAAAATTCAACCAATACTATAATCAGTTTTGTAGTTTTTTTATTTGAGAAATTTTTAAAAAGATGAAAATATGACATGATTGGATTATTTTTATTAACGTAAAATACAGATATGTATTTTAAATACATAAATTTATATTACAGCGTTTCTTATTTATCACTCCTATTTTAATGCCCATAAGATATTTGTATAAACTTTATAATTGTTCGTTATTTTATTTGATTTTTCTCTTCTTAATTAAATTGTTTTTTTAAAAAACATTATTCTTAGCGTAGCTGGCATCTAAAGCTCACAATCCAAAGGCTGCACGGCGTCTCTCCCTCTCCTCTCTCGCACCCAGTCCTTGGCGTCCGCCGTGTGATGGTCATGTGACCATAACCTGTCCAATGACAGCCGTCCGTGTCGGACTCTGAAACGCGATGCGTCGCATAGCGAAGAGAGCGTTTTATCTCACTTCTTCGCTCGCCGCGTCTGCTGGATGTGGTGTTTATCGGTTCTTCATTGATTGACTGATAGTAGTGGGGTTTGACTACAGCCAATGTCGGTCTTGGGACGAGGGGGCTCTCAGAGAGTCGCACCGAAGAGGTGCGGTCGTGCTCTCGGCCAGTGTAGGTGTTCTTGGTTACCGTAACTCGACAAGCTGCGAGCCACAGATGCCCGTCCTGCTTCGGCGTGCACTGAACGCGCGACCCCCTCGTTTCTCCGTAAAGGAAAGTTAATTTTCTGCGCTTCCACTTATCAGGAAAACGACAGCAAAACATTAACCTGTTATTCATCAGACCTAGTGGCAGTACAATGGAAGGTGGGTACTCCACGCAAATACAGTTTGTTGAAAATAAATGCATTTCCCATCGCTGTTACTTAATGTTAGTGTTTGTGAACAACAAGTCTGATGGGGTCGCATTTAGTTTTGCATTTCCAGCCGGTGATTGTAATGAATAAAAACGCTGAGCAACGCCTTCCGCAGGTTATACTCACGCATACATATTAAAAATGTTTGAAGAGTATTTCACAAAAGCTGAATCTGACGGCTTAACTTTATTGTGCGGAGTTTAGGAAATAAATGTTCAAAACAAGAGTTAAAGATTATGCTTGGGAAGCTTTCTAACCTAACCCGTATTACAGATGCAGCGTGGACGTGCCAAAAATCCTGAATTTCATCCCTGCCTAAATATGCGTGTTTTGTGGAGAATATAGATTGGAAATATTTGTTGAAATATTTATGAATATAGACCTGCAACGTCCCCTCATGCTTTTTAAAACAAATTATGTGTTTTTATAGTTTCAATGATATGTTCATCATTCTTAAGAACTGTGGTCATTAAAAAAAAAAAAGAAAGATGTTTGACCTTGAACCTAAGAACTGGAACTTAGTTGTCCTGCTGGGGCGCCTCATTCTGTCCCGTTTCATCAATAGAAAAACCTAAAGCGAAGCTGTGCTGAATAGGAAAATAACTAAATGCATGCTCTATTTTCCAGGCAGGTACAGCTTTGCTCTCTGTAGCCTTGCTTCTCCACACATTGTTCTGTGACAGGTGACTGCAAGTTTATGATGCATATTGGAAACTTATGGCGATCATTGGGGAATTCTTCTGTTGCACACTGATTTATGTTTGCTTGCGGGTCTGAACAGGGGTGTGAGATATTATACCGGAAAAAAAAGCTTTCATTTGCTTTTGGAAGAGATGAGTGAGTCATGCTGTCAGGAGATCCGGAGCTGACACATCTCTTCTGGAGTAAAAAGGTCCCTGTTGACAGTGACTCTTACGTGGGTGCCTTGGTATCGCTCTTGACCCAGTTAGTGTTCAGATTTCATAGTAAGCCGTGGATTCTGTGGGTGTTGCTTGTCATATCTCTTTAGACCAGGAGCGAGGATTTGGGTGTCTGTTCTTGAAATGTGTCCATGTGCCCTGCATGGCTTTATAAATAAAGGGGCTAAGACAGAGTTAACCATTTGGTGTTTCCTTACCTCATTTGGGGAGGAAATTGACATATTTTGAGCTTCTAGATTTGAGTAGATGAGCTGGCTGTGTTTGGTTGATGCTTGTGGAGGTGGTTGGCAGCCTTTGTGTGTTTTGTTTTTTTGCAGGTGCTGTACAGATACACAAGAGGTTCAGACTCCAAGCCAACACTGTCTGTTTCTCTGTCATTGATCACTGCCATTCAACCAGCCTAAATGGGTTTTTGTGTTTCTCAAGCTGCTTGCATTAACGTTGTTTGCATTTGCTGTAAGCCGTGGAGGGTCTGTAACATGAGCAGCCTCTGTACACTGGGCCTGACATCCATCTCTGTTAACTGACTCCTTGGATAAAAAGCATTCCTCAGCCTTTAATGTCAGCGCCCCATACAAAGCTGTACTGGGTGAAATAAACTGTTTATCTTTATCTTAAGGGAAAACAAGCATTTGGTATTTGCAGGATCACCAGTAGTTGAAACTGGGGTTCCACTGTAGTGTGCTTTGCATTGGTGTTTGGCAGAAAGTATCAAGTTGATTGGTGACTAGTATACAACCCAGATGGCATTGATACCTACTGAATCATCTGAGCTGATGCTAGCATGAGACTCTTAAAGACATCCTTATACCAAATGATTTTTCAAGTAATTTCACTGTTCCAGACAAATTCCCAATGTCAGAATAAATCATAAGAGTTTTGCTATAGTTGCATCGCAATTAACACTGAGAAGTGGTCAGAATACTGGTCTTAAGTCAGTCATTTTCTCATTTTCATGTCCTGATAAAATCAACCAAGTTTAATGTTATCATAGGTCTTTAGTCCAGGCTCATGCAAGTAGTAACAAGGACATTGTCAACAATGAAGTGGTGAGCTCCAGTTCCTTTTATAGGACGGTCAGACCTCTCTGTCCCTGTTCACTCAACCGGGGTCGTGTCCACATTCTGCTGTCTTTTTTTGTTTTTGGCTATTTTATCATTGCAAACTGTTGCACACATAAGAGCAGCTCTGACCAAAATCTGTGTTTCTGCTCCATTGTTCAATCATTTTTCTTGTAAATTTCCCCCAGGAGCATGATGGGAAATAATCTCAAAAGGAATCTAGTTGCAGTCTTTCAAATTGTGACCATGCAAGATCCCCAGTCTTTGCAAAATGATAGTCAGTGGAAAAAAAACACTTATAAACGACACATTGTCTTTAGATGTGAGAGGGTGTCTGACTTTAGTCTTTTCATAGTCTTCTAGTCTATGGTTAGCATAAGGCAGTGTTTCCCAGCCCAGTCCTTGGGGAATCCCGGACAGTCCACATTTTTGCTTCCTCTCAGCTCCCAGTGCATCTGTAACAGGTGTTCGGTGTTCCTGATTGGCTGGGAGTTGGGAGGGAGCAAAAACGTGGACTGTCCAGGGTTCCCCCGAAGTCTGGGTTGGGAAACACAGGTACATAAGGTATATGGCCCAAAGGCAGTGCTTTCTGCTGCTTCACCCTGTAGACCTTCCCTGCTCACATGATTTTACCTCTATGTGCAGGTGGTGCTAGGGCTTTTACAACATGACATTCATTTAGTAAACAAGCTACTCCTTGTAAATGAGAATTCACATATTAGTGTTTTACTGCTTACTGTATGTGTTTTTGGTAGTTGCTGTTTGGACAGTGATAGTTGCTATGTAGATATAAGGCCGTCAGTTGCCAGAATTGTCCTAAACAGCAGCTGCTTGGTTTTATCTGGATTAATAGATTTGTAGACCATAATGTTACCAGTTTTTTCCAATATTGGTCAAGTATAATCCTTTATAACCCCAATATGATGCATGATAACTCACTATAGGGGATGGCACACAATTTTTCAGATCATGTTGTTTGTGTGATGCCAATATTGTCAAAGCCAAATGTTAATTTCAGAAAAATCAGAATCAGAAAAACTTTATTGATCCCGGAGGAAATTGCTCAATTTACCCTTTTGTTTTTATTTACCCATTTGTTTTTAACAGCAAATAAGCTGTTTATTTACTGGAAGTCCAGGCATGGCAGACTGGCCCATCTGTAAAGCCCATAGCCTGAGAATGAAATCCCACATTTCTATGAAAATGCATATGTGCAATATATAAAGATTTGTTTTCTAAATGACCTTTTTTTTTTAATAATAATTGTTCTCTAAATTGTTTGTGTCATGACATGCTGCATTGTGGATTGCTGCTTGCGGGGGAGGGTGCGTGTTTTTCTGTCTGTTACAGAAATAAGAACCCATAATTTCTGCCAACGCAAGCTCTTACACTCCTTATTAAATCTTGCAGTCTCAACACTGTTCTAGTCAGCCGAATGGTAGGCTGGGATTCTTTATCAAGGGGTAATAGGAATTCTTTCTAAAAATAAGTAGTCTGCAGGGATTAATAAGACTACCACTTTGTTTGAGATGCATCTTCAGATGTCTGTGAGCCTCCTGAATAATTTTACTGGCCGTTCTCCTGTGGGCAGGTTTCATTCCTGTCGTGCAGCAATCACTGCGCCAATCTTATGTAATTCCCTTTGACCGTTGGCTTTTGCATTCTGTTGAACAGAGAGCAGCTCAGACAGGATTCTGAGCAGAAGCCAACAGGGAGGACGTTGCATAATCCCCACCTCCCCCCTCCCCGCCTTTACAGTGGCATTGCCACCACTGCCTGAAGCTGAATCTGTAATTGCATTAGAAAAACTGGGGTCTTCATCATCCGTCAAGGCATACGTTTGACAGTACATAGTTGCACGGGGTTGAACAAGCTTGTTCAAGTCTCTCTGTATACATTGGTGGGGGGGGGGGACGTCTCCAGTGTGATAAGGTAAGCGCTTCTTGCATTCACAGCATTCCTCGTGAATGGCTGGACCCTCCAGAGATTTGCAGTGCTGATTTTTGATGCTTGTTAATATGCCGTTGGAGGATGGACACCCGTGTCAGTGAAGTCCGACAGTATGTGCTTCAGCCTGGGACGGACTGCTGTGTTAGCAGTCTACACAGGAGACAGACAGAGGTCAACCAGCTGCCAACAATGGACAGAATTGTATTGTAAATCAAAGGTGAAGGTATGGTAATGTTCCATAGATGGGTCGGCTTATCATTTGACTGAAATACCACTATTTTTTTTTTTTTTCCTTTGCACATTTTTTTTATCCACTCTAAAACCCAGCCTACCCCATAGATCTCTCTGGATGTGCGAAAAACATGTTTAGAGACTAAAACACACCTTAGAATTGTGAGTCTTCAGCCTGCTATTCCTTTTGTTTAAAGCCTGCTGGCTCAGAGGAACTCAGTATTTCATCAAACCTGAATCCCCAATCAAGGATTCACCTTGCTTGCTCATTGTCTGTTTTGGGAAGATTAATTTTTCAATTAGGCATTCCTTCAAAAAGAGTTCTATATAAAAACAGCATGAATTAACACTTTATTCTTGGGAAGACTGTTATGTCTGCATGAGGTCTGTCACCTGCATTGTCTTCCTGAATGTTTTTGGTGTCAACCACAAGGCCCCTGAGAGTATGAAGTCTGCAAATGCCATATATTCATTTAATTAGACTGTCCTTTAAGGGAGGCCCCATTTGTACACTGTGGGTACAGTGCTGCGCCTTTGCTCCAAATCTTATTGAGGAGGACGCATCGCAAAATATCTAAAAGAAGCTTAACGCGTCATGTTTCCACTGCCTGCTGGCTCGTGCCCCCGGCTCTGCTCTTTCTGTACTGAGGCCAGCGTCTGGGTGGATTATCCAGATCTACCCCTTGTCCTGCTTGTCCCGGAGATGGCTGTGCAGAGCCGCCGCTCTCCCTCCTCCACGCGCAGCATGCTGGTTGAGGGCTGCGCACATTGTGTCTGTTATGACCCAGACCAATGTGCAGACAGCCTGTGCCAGCTTTGGGTGGACAAGAGATGCCTGGTGGGTAGGAAAAACAAAAATGCTTTGGCTTTCAGTCTGGCAGCATGTGTAGCTTATGCTAACATCTCCTATAGCAACCGTTTTGGCAGACTTGTAGGTCTGAAACTAGCCCTGTCTGTCTTCAGCTATTTTTCCTTATGTAAGTATAGGACACTCCAGCCTGATCCCACATTTGCAACACTGTTTCTTCCCCTCTGGTTCATTAAGGAGCCTTCTGCACTGCCATTTGTGTGTTTAGGGTGTATATATTTAATGTCATGCTTTTTCTGGTATAAACAGCTCATGAAAATGGACAGATAAGCCTTTTGTAAATCCATTTAAACTACCTGCATCGACACCTGGGTGAAAAAGGTTTTAGCTCTTCAAGCATTTGCTTGGCTTATAGTGGCTGTTAAGAAGACAAAGTGGCCATTTTGTGTTGTCAGCCTATCCCTCTTTTGAGCTCACATAGTGAGTAGCATCTTTTTGTGTAATAGCCAATGTATATTACTGTACAACAAAAGCCATATGTTAGAATCTGGTTCCCTCTAATGGAGGAGCCACATTGATAATATGGTCAGGCTGTTTGGTGAGTGTGGAAGTGTCTTTGTTTCACAAAAACAAGCACAACTTAAATCTAACAGGCACAATCATTATGTAATCACAAGTTCTAAAAATTGTATAATAGAGAGAACACAAATATAGAGTCTCAAGCTTTTTTATGGATTTTGTTGATTAATTTGACTTGTCAATACTGATATTGCACCTGTAGCATCAGTTGCCTGGGATTAATGCCTACTTTTAATTGAAAGAAACTTGCACATCTATAGTCTTTTTACTTAGATACCCATGTTTTTACATGACTCGCTATTCCCACAAATTTAATTAGTATAAAAATTAATGTTGGTGTGCTCTTTTCTCTGCCATGTAAGTTGTTAATATGAAACCAAACTGAATGCCCTCACTAGACTGTATTGTTTGTCAGCTGACATTGGTTATTATCTCAGATCAATGTGCTTTTCAGAACAACAGATGGGGTGGTGGTGCAGCCAAATGCACTCCATTGTAGTGTCAGGCCGGAAGGACTTTGCGTTTGGCAAACAAACAGCATGCAGCCTTGAGAGAAGTCGGGGGATTCCAGACAGCCACACCCTCAGACCTGGATCGTTAATCACAGCCTAGCAGGCAGGAAAGCAAAACTACACCCAGGTTGAAAGGGATGTCTTTCCCGCCAGTGATGCCTGGTCTGCAAGACCAGCGCATTTAAGTTTAGCAAATGATCTGGAAACAGCCATTAGACATTTTCAGAGATGCCATGGTAATAAGTGTGACCGGTGGCCTGTACTACGAAGCAGGGTTACTGGCTTATCGGGGTAACTTGTCGGATTTAAGGTACCACAGTTTAAATGGACTCCATATTCATTCACTTACATTTTGCCCAGACTACCTTCAATCCGACAAGTTACCCCGATAAGCCAGTAACCCTGCTTCGTAGTGCAGGCCCCAGGTGAGTGTTAGATTGCTTCCCTTCATAGGGTTTTGTTTACGTTCTGATTATTTGTCAAGGAGTCCCTGAGGGGTAGTCAGTTGACGACTATCCAATGTCCAAACCTAGGTCGTCTTGTATCTGATTCCTACAGACACCCAGAAGCCCACTCACCTAGCGTAGAGGTAGGTGTATTGCTGTGAATTATGTTTTGTTTTGCTTCCAAAAGCTGCTAAAGAGGAGCACTGAAGGCAAGAGTCCCCCTTTGGTCCATGAACCCAAGTGGTTTGAGACAAGAACTCAAAGGATGTCACTTGGCACACCATTGAACACATCTTGGCTTTAATCACATTGATATGACTGCAGTGGACAGTGGTGATTCATTCATATGGATGTCTGAATGTCCACAGGTAGCACATGAGGACTTTGAATGAAAGTGTCCATGGGGCGATCTGATGAAATTAAAACAACGTGTGTGATGTGTCACAGCACTGAGACGCCGAAAGACGTGTTTGTGACGGCGGCTCAGCGGGTTGCAGCCATGGAGGAGGCCGCCAGCCAGCTGGAGAGGGACCACGTCCACAGCGTCTACGAAAAGGTTGCGCCCTACTTCAACGACAGCCGTTACAAAGCCTGGCCCAAGGTCCGACAGTTCCTCCTGGAACAGGAACCTGGAAGCATTATAGCAGACGTGGGTGTGTGACCCCCCCCCCTCCCCCCCCGAACATTTGTCGTTTTACTTGAAGAGAGCTGAAAGATAAATATTTGCATAGCACCGTAACCCACCCTAACAGTATGGGGGTGTCTCCTGCTCTGTGCCCTGTTCTTTTCCACCACTGGTTAAGGAAACAGATTGTTCTCACCTTAAGCAGTGCACTAGACTGCCAGTCGAACATGTTCAGTTATACTCATTTGAATAACAAATTTGCTTTTACAGTGAAAGAACATCAGGTAACCCTGTTAGTCCTTTTGTATAAGTTGTGAGGTGTTCGCTGTCTTGATTCCCTGCCTCTCCATGTTCAAACCATGGCAGCTAACACAGAGTTCTTTAGTCTCTTAACCACTAATTCATTGACACCATTTTATTCACGTTAGACCCCATTATCCAAAAAAACAAAATTTTCTTCTGGGAATCTTACACAACGTGTTAAAAGGGCAGTTCACCCCAAAGCTGAGAACTTTGTTCTAGATGGGCTTTTTTATGCCATCTGTTCATCTTGGTTCTGCTGGGAGTTGCCTAGTTTTGGAGATAACTACCATAGAAATGTCAGACCACTCAAATGTAATGGGAGTGAATGGCATTCATTCTGTGATGATTAAAGCACCAGAAAAATACATTTGAAACATCCAGCACAGCAACGACGTCTCTTACCAGAAATCATGACCCAGTTATTGAAGAAAATCCACAGATTTTGTAGTGAGCAGTTTAATGTATAAACTGTTTTTTTTTTTTTCCCCTACCAAACTCTACACAGCAGGCGTATCACTGCGCAGACAATATCGCCGAGGTGCTCGTGCTCGTATCTTCTGCCCTATTATAAAAATGGTGTGTGGAGTTCAATAAATAAAATAGTTCCAACATTAAACTGCTCACGACAAAATCTGGGGATTATCTTGATTTCTGGCAGAAATATTGCAGTTTTTCAAATGTCCCGTATTCAAGTGAAGCCTGACATTTCTATGGCTGATATCTTGTAAACTAAGCGACTCCCAGCGGAATGACCTAGATGGATAGAGCGCTAAAGCTCAGTTTTGGGGTGAACTGCCCCTTCAAATGCATTAGAATATTCATCACTTCTGTATCCTGGAAGGAAACTCTGGCTTGAATTTCCTATGCTCTCATTAGTAATTGTAGAAATCCTTGGTGGGAGGAATTATTGTATATAATCTGTAATTGATCAGTTTAACTCAGCAATAGTTGCTTAGTTCCCATTGGGCTGTATAAGGCAATGAATGAGTGTACAGATAATCAACCCCGCAATGGTATTTCTTCCATCCCCAATATGCTACCTTGCTTTCCTAGTTTGACTTAAACTCTGCAATGTATCAATGCAACATCTGTTTAAAGAATGACATTGTTAATTTCACTATTTCAGGTTGCGGCAATGGAAGATACCTGCACATCAATGAGGACATATTCAAGCTTGGCTGTGATGTGTGTCGCCCCCTGGTGGAAGCGGCACGCTGCAAGGGCCACGAGGTCCAGGTGTGCGATGGCTTGCGGCTGCCGTTCAGAGAGGGTTGCTTCGATGCCATTCTCTCCATCTCAGGTACCATCCTCTCTGCCATTCGTCACTCTGGGGGGGCTCATGGGGGCCGTGTGTGGCTCAGCGGGCAAAGGCTCAGTGCCTGTGATAAGAAGATCGCCGCTTTCAGTTCAGCCTCCACAAAATATTCACATGTCTTTGGGCCCTTGAGCAAGATCTTTAACCCCTAGCTTCCTGGGTCTTGCTGTGACCCCCAAGCCTGTTCTCAGCAGTATGGAGAGAAGAATGGGGCAAAGCAAAAAGAGAATTTCCTCCGGGGATTAGTAAAGTATCACTATAGTAACTATCTATGGTAAGGAACAGCAACAAAAAGTACTAGCGACACAGATTCTTCAGTCATTCTTAGGCATGTAACAATGAATCGCAAATCTGTTAATCTATGTAAATGTGTGACTATTTAAACTGGCTGATGTGGAAAATGAATCGCTACTTTTGGAGTTCATCACAGTACTTTAACGGAAAGTTAGTATTACATTTGATTTCATAATATCAATTTGACGTCAGATGTCACCGCGTATTCATATCGACGTCGTACATTAGTTTTCGGTTTTGACCGAACACGAGATGGCGCGAGAGTTTGAAATTGAGGAGACACCCCCCCCATCTTAAATCGGCGGTGTGGCAGCATTTTAGCTTTCCGGTAATCATAAACGAAAATGGTGAGAAAAGCACAGACAAGACAAAAACTGCGTTCAAACATTGTAAAAGGCTGAAATATACACAAATAGCACAACGAACATGCTTCGGCATGTCCTCCAGCACCACAGTGAGGGCAGGAGTCAAACCACGCTAAAAAGCTGCACATGCAAGCCTTAGTTTATTTGGTAACACTTTACATTCAGTGCACCTTCATAATGCATCATAGAACATTCATAAGCAGCATGCAAGTACTCTTTAACATCCTAACATCCCTTAACAGCTGTAATATACAATAATAACAAACATTACATGATTATACAATTATAATGTTTATTGTTATATAATGTTTGTTATTAATGTATATTACAGCTGTTAAGGGATGTTAGGATGTAAAGGTATATATGCCTGATGTTTATGAATGATTTTTGAATACTTAATGAACACATTATGAATGTGTACTGAACGTTTTATGAATGCAATATAAAGGCATTATGAAGGTGCAGTTAATGTAAAGCGTTACCGTTTACAGTATTTGAAGATTGTCTTTAAACAGTATTTTATTCAATTTCAGTTGCACTGTTAAGAGGACACATTTTGCACAGTTTAGAAAGATAAAGGAATATTTTTGAATAAATTTGCAGCTCATTCTGTTAAAAAAAATTGTGAGAAAATCGTATTGTGAACTCAGAATTGTGAATCGTATCGAATCGTGAGTTGAGTTACATGCCTAGTCATTCTACTAACCAGCTTCTGTTAAAGGTCACATATGCTTTGTTCATTAGTCCCGCCATATCTGCAGTTTATCAGCGTCTGAAAAGAAGAATTGTAAGATGTGTAGCAGTATTTACAGTACTGTATAATAATGTATAATGTACTTTTCTACTTATTACTGTATTTAATGTTGGTTATGTCTTAATGTGTGTAATGTATCATTTACCACATGTAAATACACTATACATTATATATGGGGCCAGCAGATGGTTTGCTATTACTAGTGGTGTCAGCTAACCGCGGTGGCAGATAAAGGGCTGATTACTGTATTCACCACCTGATGAGCTGATCCTCTCCAGGATTAGCATACAATAATTCAGAAAACACATGTGATCTGTGGTAATTAACACACAGTACAAATTGACTCCTGATCCTCAAAACCACCACTAACTTATTTGTACACAAGTAATGAGCAAGAGGATTGATTTTTTTTTTTTCTGGTCTGCTTGAGGAGAAGTTGTGGTTATTATGGTTTGTACAAAGGTTTACTCAGAAGGCAATGTATCAGCCATACATAGTGATGTTGCTTAAACATGATGTAATAGGATAGATACAGATTTACGGGGTGAGATTATCCAAGGCTGCATTGTTGGGCATTTTAGCTGCAAGGATTATTCATAATGCAGACTCAGTCTAATGTTAGCACCCTTTATTTAGACACTGTGTGGCTATCAGGAGGCGGAGCTTATCCTGGCTCATCATTGTTCTGTTTAAACAGTCTCATATGCCTGGAGTGACAGAACAGGGCAACTTACCAGGTCACAGGCAGTAATACAGAGGGCAACAGTTTCCTAGATGGCACAGTCACCTGGCAACAATAGCTAATTCCCAGAACAGCCATGTTTCTGTTTGAGGACTATTGCACTGATCTGATTCATGGTACGGCAGAAGAAATCTGCACCTTGTGTGCTTTTTCCTCATTTCATTGTCTGAAATGGGACATAACATATTTATTTGTGTGTAACGTAAACCATTCTAGTTTTAGCCTACAGGTGGTGTTGTGGTTAAGTAAATCAGCTTTTGCCAATGTCCCTATAATTCCTGTTACACATTCAGGTACTTGGATGCTTCACATGACATACTTCAGTCCTGGCCCAGCTGCATGGATATCAGATTGCATTTTAAATGACTTAGCATAAAATGTTTGTAATAAACATTATTGCAAATGTTCGCTGCATTGAGATCAGATTGCAGAATATTTTTGTTCATTGATTTCTATGGAGCTCAGATGTCCGGCCCCCGTTTTTGGGCCAGTAGGTCATTACAGATTGATAATTGCAGGCTTTTATGAAAAGTGACTTTGGTTTTTCTCAGTCATCCACCACTTATCTACCAAAGAGCGGCGCATCAGGGCAGTAAAGGAGATGGCACGCACGCTGCGCGTGGGCGGGCGCCTCATGATCTACGTCTGGGCCATGGAGCAGAAGCGGCGCAGGTTCCAGAAGCAGGATGTTTTCATCCCGTGGAACCCAAACCCCCCCGGCCCTACCTCTGCTGGCGGGATGGGTTCCGAAGCACACCGCCAGGATGGCAGCGATAGCGACAAGCACAGGAAGGTGAAAAGCACATCCTCCGTGGTGGATGACGAGGACACTGCCGCGGGGGCCCACCAGAGCTCCAGGAGACGATGGTCCTTCTCCAGGTCGCTGGACTCAGTGCTGGACTTTGGGGGTCTGGCCGTGTCCAGGACCTGCAGCAGGGAGTTCAACAAATCCTGCGCTGAGGTTGCTGTGCTGGATACGTCGAGAACCAGCCGGCGTGGCCGCGGGATGGGTCTCATCAGGCAGGTCTCCAGCCTCTTCTCCTCCTCATCGCGGTACAGCTCCGAGGATGATGTCTTCGGCTCAACGACAGACCTCGGGAACCAACCAGAGAGGATCGACGACGGCACCAACGCTGGCGTCGGCCCAGAGAAGCACGTTTCTTCTGGCACCATCATGCATGGCTGTGGGTCCGTGCCCCTACCGGACCTGATCACGCATCAGAAGGAGAGCTCCACAGGGGCCACCAGGACTGAGCAGCCTGTAGGCCCAGAGGAGAGCTCCTCACAGTGGTCAGGCAGCACAGAGCGCCTTGGAGAGGAGATGAATGAATGGAGCAACACTGAGGCTCTGGGCTCCTGCCTGCGCTACTACCACGTATTCAGAGAAGGGGAGCTTCTCGAGCTCATCGAGAAGCATGTCGAGGAGCTCCACGTCCTTCAGAGCTATTTTGACCATGCCAACTGGTGTGTGGTGGCCGAGAAGGTTGAGGTCTGGAAGGTCTAACACTAGGCTGCAGTATCTATGTATTTTAAAAATTTATTTTCCAAGCCAGTATTACATTTTAAATGTTTTTAAATTTCACTCTAAGAACATGTGCGAATACACCTGTTTTCAGACTATGTTGTGTTTTGGGAATTGCTACCTGGAATCAACATTTTAAACACTGAGTAACAATAAGCTCTCCTTTAAATTTCGTTTTCGTATGGAAACTCACTTGTAAGTCACTGAGCATTTACCAAAAATGCAGAATAAGTTTTAGTAATTTAGAATCCTGTGCGGGTGTGTGTTTGTGTCGTTTTTTAAAGTTATTTATGTGACAAAATCTTATGATTGCCTTGAAATGTTCTGAGTGATGAAGTGCAGTGTGATGAAGACATTGTGATAGTTATTCCTTGCACAGCTATAAACCTGGGACACGATTATTTCTGAGAGTCTACCAAGCTGTGGATTTATTACAGAAGTTTGTTGCCTATTAGATTAACTGATACCATCCACTGTAGTGATTTTTTTTTTCTTCTGCAATATAGGCAGCCTGCCTCACTGAGGTAAGGGGGAACCTCATTCAGAGTGTGCATTATGGTTTGTCATCAACAGTAATATAAATAATAATAATATACTGTTAGATGTTTTTGCCAAGGATCCAAAATAGGCTGCTATCAAAAGAACAAATACTTATACAGTGCACTTTGTAGTTGTAGATTTGTGTATTTGAGAAATGTGTAGTTTTAGCCTGGTTTTAGGTTTAGCCAAAGAGACTGACTGGAACGTTTGCTATAGATCTGCAGGCATTTGTTGAGTAGAACAGCCCCTAACCTTGTGCAGTTTCCCAGAACCTGCGTTGTGTTGCACATATGCTCAGTACTGGACCATGTGAGCAAAACCTTAGCAATCTGAATACTAAGTAACTGTTTTTAAAAGTCATTTATCATTTTGTGACCTTTGTCTTAGTGCTAAACTGAACAGCTGGCGAGTCTGTACTGCTGGTAGAGTTGCTAGAAAATATTTGCCACAAAGCACTTCTCCGCTGCCAAGCTGTGTTGTCGTAGGTGTCGCTGCTACATTCGCTTGCATGTTGGGTCCAAACACTTGAATCATCTGTTTGTTTTTGCAGTCGTGCTGTGATGTGACCAATGAATGTCTCCTCCTTTTTGCCAGACAATTTTAAAAGGTCTGACAGGTTTCCCTTGTTCAACATTTATTTTAATATGTGTATTTATTGCCAAATAAATGAATTTTGATGTTTAAAACAAACCTGTGAGGCTTATACATGGATTCAACCACAAAATGTTAACAGCCGATAAAGGCTTAGAACGTATGTACGCATCTATATAAGTATTATGTATTGGACTTCATTTATATTTTGGGCTGTTTCTGACAGATTTACACAATGTACAGTAACTACCTAAACTGACAAAAACTATTTTCCAGCAATCAGTCCTGTAGCAGGTTTGGTGATGTAATGGCTTACTGCATAAAGGTAGCACACATGAGAAAGTTCATGTAGTTTTGCTGCTCTTTGCTTTCATTGGTGTGATTGAGGTCATTATAAGCTCCGCTTTTTCCACACCTAAAATATAGGAAAAACACAGGTTGACATTGCACCATTAAACTGATGCGTCTCATTATACATTAACCAAATTATGACAGTGCTAAAAATGTGCATTACTGACATGCTAATCAGCAGTAGCACACGACGGGATGCACCTGTGCTGCGACTCTGTGGAGGATTGAGTGTCTGAGTGCCAGGCGATCAGTGTCATTGCAGTATCCCCCTCCAATGACAGCAGCCACTGGAATGCCTCTGGACACCGTTGTGTCAATCACAAACAGGTCTCTCTGATACAGACCTAGAGATGCAGGTAGAAAGTAAACAGGAGATCCATCCGAGTGCCTGGTTTAGCTCCGCAGCTCATCATGAGTTCTGAAACTGATGCACTGATTCTTGTGCAAGTGTTCCTCACCTTGGTCTGTCAGGCGAAGTTTCCCAAGCTCGTCGTCCCAGTGAGGGTCCACTCCAGCATCATACAGGACCAGGTCGGGCCGGAAGCTGTCCAGTATACTGGGCAGGTAAGCTTGGACTGCCTCCAAAACCAGCAAACAATGGTCTTAGTATTGCGGGGCGTGTTTACTGGAAAGGTGTGTTACGTGGTGTTTCTGGAATCAGTCAGAGATGCTCACACATCAATTTTGTTGTATTTAGAAGGACAATTTAGCCATGCATATTTTCAATAATTACATGTATTTACTCAAATTCCCATACTAAGTGACCTTGTCCTCCCATGTCTTTGGTCTGTGAGAGAAATGTTTAGAAACTCATGCACAATTTTAAATAGTTAAGTACAGCATATATACTCTTGTACTACCTTTCTCTACAAATAATGTATATTAGACTACGTTTATTATGTAACTGACTGTGCTTTTAATACCCTTTGGGAAATTCTCCCTACATTGCTTCTAACCCCAGTCACAGTTATAACTTACCAGTTGCGAGGTACATTTTATCCTCTAACCCATCCTTCAGGGAGACATCCAGGTCACTCTGCTGCTTCCTTACGGGGAAGTTGCTCCCACAATGCATGGAGAAAGTAAATACATCAGGTTCCTCCCTGAAGATGTAGGCCGTGCCATCCCCCTTTAGGAAGGACAACAGCAGGAGTCTGGTGAGGAACCTGCCCTCGCCCTAAAGAGCCCCGTAAGGTAAGGAGACAGCTGGCCTCCGGCATCTATGGGCTAAACCTGATGCACGTCCAAATCCACGATGAGGACCTTCCTCTTCTGTGAGGATTCCTCCATCCAGTATTTGGCAGCCACAGCCAGGTCGTTGATAAGACAGAATCCTGCCCCATAGCTGGGGAAGGCGTGATGCGTTCCCCCTGCCGTACTGCAAGCAAGTCCTCTTTGCAGAGCAATCCCTGCTGCCAGAACCGTACCACCTGGGCCAAGACACGTAACCACACATGAATGGATATTTACCTGAAAGGTAGGTCAGGCCCTTTGTCTGGATACCCCACCTGTTTCATATCGGCACCGTGTGGCAAGACCGTCACTCCAGGAAAAGCCCGTCCTCTTCTGCTCTTCTGGGCTAGTCTTTCCATGTATGAACTTATCCACGTATTCCTCTGTGTGCACAAGGGCAAGTAGCTCTTCTGAAGCTAGATCAGGAGTCCATACCTTAAGAAATATATACGGATGAGTGCCTTACTTTTAATTCAGACATTCAGTTGTTCTACAGACATAATCATCTACTCTCTCACCTGTTTATCAGTTATTATTTGATCCCTTAATAGAAAGAGTAGTATCTTCGGGAACTTTCCCATGGGAAATCTGTGGTTTGCTGGGATGTCGCACACATATTTACTGTGATGAACCACGGGAAGACCACTGGAGTCCTTAGTTACCTGCGCAGAAGCCAAACATTCGACAGAATTCAAACCAACATAAGTACATGTATTTACGGTAGCAGGATAATTGTACGATTTAATGTAAATTGAATTTCTTGCGCTAAACTTGCGCTTGCATGTTTCGAGCATTTTTGCTATTATGTTTTATCTTAAAACTTACTTTTGTATGAAAAGGTCTCTTCCATAAACTTTTCTGTAAATATGCCTCATTTCGCATTACATTAGTGTATCGGCCAGGCAATCTACGCCAAACGTATTGTATTTTGAAGTATCCAGACATTATCATTACGCCGCACTATATTATTTCTATTGATGCAGCTGCGTATGGTATCCACGGATCTTGCTGCATTGACTATTATCAGTAAAACTGGGCTATTTTCTAAAGCATATTCACCGTGCTTACTGGCCGACTTACACGATGGCGCCCCGGTGTCTTCCGGCGCTAAGCTTCCTGCGTATGTCACAGCGACACCATGCGGCGGCCACTATCAATGACACCTTTAACTGTAAATAAGAGACTGCGCAAAAAATTTTTAAGGACGAACATTACGTCCTGCGTTAATGACAGACACAAAAACAATATTAAACATTTTCGATTTTATATTTTTACCGATGTACAGTAACTTAAGTACATTACGTTTTGTTTTATTGTATTTTTAAAGGTAGTGTGTTATCCGAGCTATTTATCTTTATCTAACACCCTTAACGTGTGTGTGTGTGTGTGTGTGTGTCTATATATATATATATATATATATATATATATATATATATATATATATATATATATAAGTCCTGCTGCATATCAAGCTACGTAGGCTTGGATTACACTTGTCAGTCCAATGCTTCCCAAGAGTGCTTGACACCATGATGCAACTGAAAATGGGATTCATTAGGTCAAGAAATCTTATTCCATTGCTGCAAGGTCCAATTCTGATGCTTTAGCGTCCATCATAGGCACTTTTGATGGTGGGCTGGGGGCAGCAGGGGCACCCTGACTGTCCTGTGGCTATGCAGCCCCACACAGAAGGGCTCCATGCATTGCATGTCAAGACACATTACGCCCGTGACTGTCATTAAAATTATCTTCCATTTGTGCCACATCTGCAGGGTAAAAAGTCAGTTCCTCTATGCAATGAAAATTTTACTCTGAGTGTGCTGCCCATGGATACAGAGCAGCTGGTCATTCATCAAAAACAAAACAGGAAAAGGCTTGGGGGGCACCTGTGAGCCAGGGATAAGCCCCCCCCCCCTCATCTGGCTCCTCAGGGACCTGATTTCTGAGCACACGGCTATAATGGCGTCCGCAGCCACCTGCACATACTTCTGCAGCTCTGCGTTTATCATTTTTAGATCCGCAGTCGCGCTGTCCTTCTCCATCCCACTTTGGAAAAATGAAAAACAAAATATAATCATAGGAATCAACTGGTTTAAGCAAAGCAAATAAATGTTAGCACTGCTCCAGACGGCATCCCTCAAAGGCCTATATGATCGAGATATTACAAAGCAGCAGGTCCAACCCCTGGCTCCTTCCTGAACAGTGTGTGCTGGGGACAAGCCCCGCCTCCTGACTTCACCCCTCAGGGACCTGGGTTCTCGGCACAGGGCAGTAACGGCATCCTCGGCCATGTCCCTGGACTGCTGCTGCTCCAGGTTAATCCGCTTCAGGTCCTCCTTGCTTCTTTGGGGGAAAGAAAAATAAAATCTAATAATAGGAAGCACCTGGTTTAAATATTAAATATGTAACTACTGTTTAATGCATTACTTGTACATAAATGTACTTTATTAAATGTGTATATAAAATTATTTAACATTCTTTAATATAGCCCACTTAATTTTATATTTTAATAGCAATACAGTTTACCTCAGTTATATCCACGTTTACTTGTAGACGGAGTCTTGCCTTTGAGGCTAGGGATCTGTGCCAACCGTCGGAAGGTTGCTGGTTTGAATCCTGTAAATGCCAGGAATGATCCTACTGCCTTGGGCCCTTGAGCAAGGCACTTATCCTGCAGTTGCTTCATCCTGGCTATGATGTTACTCTTCCTTGAACCTTCCAAGGAGGTCCTTCAACCTACAAGGATGATTTGGGGGTTGGTGGCAAGATTGGCACTCTAGCTGCTGGGAAAAAAACTCTCACTGTTCCCATTGGTCTAGCGTGGTGCTGAGGTATCACTTGCTGCATGGCTGCACTCAGGTTCTCATCTCTGAGGTGGTTTGTCATGTGGTGGGTGTGGCAACTCTGTAAGAGATGCTGTGGGGCCTTCTTGTCACATGACCTTCCCCATCACATGACTCAAGCTTACAGGTCAGAGAAGATGTCTTGCCCCACCTCAGCAGAGGAGTCTTGAATGTTGACTAACAACATCTGACTATCTGATGATTAAGTGGCAGCAGGTGACACCCAGTCAATAACTGACATTGAAAACACAGGCTGACATGAATTGTTTCAAAAATATTGCTAAAGAAAGACACAGCTTTTAGATTTGCTGAAAATACTTAGCTTTTAAATAAAAGCGACTTTTTGAAGCCAGAATTCAACTGTGAATTTGCAGAGGAAAGAAGTCGACTACAGTATAAGTTTGTCAACCCAGTATTGGTTTAGACCCAAAAAGTTCTGTCTTAATAAGTATATAAATACATGTAAAACTTATGACTTCATCAAGCAGAGCCTGCATTTACCAAATGCATGAATGACACTGAGGCTTCGGCCGGGAAGAGTTTTGTCTCTGTTGTGAAGAACTACTTGGGTAATCACAGAGCAGACAATTATGAAGAATTGGTGCAAGATATGCTTGCTAACGTCATAAATTTGGGAGTTAATATGAGCATAAAGATGCATATCTCCATAGCCATTTAAACAGATTTCCAGATAACCTTGGAGACTTCAGCGAGGAACAAGGTGAGAGGTTCCACCAGGATATGAAGGTGATGGAGGAGAGATATGAAGGCAGACATACACATGATGGCAGACTACTGTTGTAGTCTACAACGTGATTGTCCTGATGACACACATAAAAGGAAATCGCATAAACAGCGTTTTTTTGAAGCATTGACATTAATAACAATTAATAACTAATTAACTTTTTAAACTTTTCCTGTCACTGTGCAAAATTTCTTTTTTGTATGATGTTAGACTGTTTACTTACTAGTTGTAACTAAAATAAATATATTCTTGCAGTTATGAATGCTTTTCAAACGTGTTGCGTTAACTATTAAATATCTCAGAAACTAGAGCCAATCTGGCAAAAGCGAAGTCATATTCTTAATCAGCACCATAAACTTAATATAAAACCGTTCAGACATCATTGGCACCAAAATCGCTGTATACCAGTGTAATGGAATGATATAGTTTACAGTGAGATTTAAAAAATTACATTTAAAATATAAGTAAAACTGTATGACATACATTGATCAGCCATAACATTGAAACCACATGCCTAATATTGTGTCGGTGCCCCTCGTGCCACCAAAACAGCCCTGACCCATCAAGGCAGGGACTCCACAAGACCTCTGAAGGTGTCCTATGGTAACTGGCTCCAAGACATTAGCAGCAGATGCTTTAAGTCCTTTGAGTTGTAAGTTGGAGCCTCCTTGGATCTGACTTGTTTGTCCAGCACATCCCACAGATGCTGAATTGGATTGAGATCAGGGGAATTTGGGGGCCAAATCAACACCTTTTTCATGTTCCTCAAACCAGTCTTGAACAATTTTTCCATTGTGGCAGGACGCATTATTGGGGGGTGTTGGTGTATAAATTATTTTGTGGGGACCAAATATATGCATAGACTATATGTAAACAAAATTTATATTGTTCCAAATGTGTCATTATCTAAATGCTTCATATGGGTAACAAAATCACAAGAATTGCAATTGGTAAACTCCTTCAAAGCCGAAATCCTGGAATACAGATCAAATGCCTTTTGGAAACTAACAGCATCCGAGAGACAAGGGAAAGTTTGCCTTTCTACCAGCAGGTGGCGCCATCAATATATTTTTTTCAGGGTTTCTTGGTCTGTCACTCAATTGATTTAGTGCGTTGTACTGGGACTGTTTGTTCCAAGATGGAAAGTACAGAGCAGAAAAATCAAACAAAAGATGAAATGCAGTTTTTCAAAATCACTAAGGTCTAATTGCCTTTCGTTTTTTTTTTTTTTTTTTAATAAACTAAGCACCGGGTGTGTGTGAAGCTGGGTCATTTAATGAGAGGAAAGAAATACATTCCTCTCCTCTTTCTTTTCAAAATGAAACCACAGGTACCAAATTTGTATCAAGAATCTGGCGTTCAACCAACCTGGCTACATGAGGCACTTTGTATCATAGTTGAACCTAATTGAAGTGACATGAAGTGTATTAGCAACAATTTAGCAACAGGTCCTCTGGGTGGCAAAAGCAATGTACCTCTCACATTGCCACATAGGGAGTGAGGCAATGAGATGCTGGCCACTCCTCAGTTAGTGTCCCCTAGGAGTGCTCGCCCTTCCACACGCTTTGATACACTCCTACATACAGTATCTGTATGGTGTATCCCCCATCTCAAGCAGCCCAAGAGAAAGCGAATTGTTTTGCTTGTGTTATCTCCGGTTCCTCCTTGGAGCTTTTGTTTGCGATGAGTCGCAGGCGGTTCCCTCAGCTCGCCCAGGGCTGTTGATTCAGCTCCGCGCACCATTCTTCAGATGCTTTTGACGTTCTATCAGCCTGGCAGCCCCGCATCTGCCGGAGCAGGCTGCCACGGTGCCCCCCTCACGCCCCCCTCGGCTGGGCCTCTCTTACCTAACGCAAGCAGCAGATGCTGGGACGCTGGGCTGCTTTTCCTGAAACTTACTGCACTCTGCAGCAAGCCACACATTGCTGCGCAGTGCCTGTTCCCAAGCCCAGCGGAGCCCAGAAAGCTTCTCTGGTGCATGTCTGGCGTGCAGGTGAACACTAACCTTTTTCCCAGTACCAGCCCTGTACTGGTGTTCTCCCTATTTGTTTTGCTGGTATATACCATTGTGGTACAGAGGCCCAGTGGGTAGCACTCTAACCTCCATGGGGGTTTGGGGGGGTTGACTGTGTGTGTGTGTGTGTGTGTGTGTGGGGGGGGGGGGGGCAGGTTTTCCCTGTGTTTGCGTGGGTTTTCTCCCACAGTCAAAAAACATGCTGTATGGTTAATTTGGCATTTAGAAAACAGCCCTGTGCCTGACTGGCATCAAGGGTGAGCACTTGTCTGGATGCAGTCTGGATGTCCTGATTTTAGCCCCCTTGGTCTCCTTTTTCCCTCCCCCCATCTGCCTCCCTGTCAACAACAAGTGCGACTCTCTCCCACCCCCAGTCACACAAAAAATGTAAGACTCACACACATATATACCACAGAAGCCGAGAATGGCTGTGCTTGTGAGTGTATGTCTTTCTGTCAAGGTAACAAAATAATTTCCGTTCTTGGTTTCCGTGGTAAGTGTGTAA